CTTGACATGATGATGACTGTTAGGAGTTAAGGGGAGAGGCTGAGCTTCACCATGAAAGGTGCAAATTGACATACAAATGAATAAAAGGGGAAAAAATGCTCCGTGTTTTTTAGGCTGTAAACTTTAACTGTTACGTAAGCCAACTAGAAAGACAGTGTATCACTCTTCCTCCTGTACATTAGCAGATAAAAGGCATAACATACTTGAATGAATGTTAAATAAAGAATGCTGGAAATAACTGCATCTCCATTAGCCTATATGCTCTGCAGAGACTGCCTTCTTCATGTCCTGAATTGCAGCTGATGTTTTAATATGGCAATTGGCAATTTGACTTATACAACATTCGCAAGTTGTACATTTGACTCATACAATAACCCACCTTCGAGTGATGCTCTAGTTTCTTCATGTTTTTTTTTCCTTCTTGCTTGCGCCAGACTGAAACTGTCTTTTCACCGACATCTCTTCACCTGCACTAGTGGCCGTATAAAAGCCGTGATTGGTCAGATGTCGATTCATTGCAACGGTGTCGGGTTACATACTTGCTCCCCTTGTTCTTGCATGTCAGCGGGAGGTTCGCGGAGAACTGCGCATAGCAGCTGAGGCCCTCTGGGCGGGGCCCCCTGCGCAAGGTGGGGCCCCATGCAGCCTGCGTGATTGGCCTGTAGGGAGGGCCTGCCCACACGTCATAACTCGGCCAAATCTGAATTTTAAATTGACTGTTTGTTAAGTTTGACTTTTGAAAAGCTTCTTTGTGTATCTTGAAACTCGCTATATAAATTAAATGTATTATTAAAAGCAAGTATTTACTCTAAAACAGCATTTTGAATGTTTAACACTCAGATTGGGTTTATTCTGTACAGAAAAAAGCCTTCGTACTGACTAGAACGCTGTGCTTCACTCCTCTTCCTTTTCAACAGCTAGTCTTCATCTTTACTTCTATGACTTTGACCCTGCCTCACTTTGATAGCCATGACCAGGTCTCTGCTGGCCATGATTTGAATTATGATTAACAACAAAGAAACACAACATAACCTTTCTTGACCAAGTAAACATGAAGATTTAAAGGCATGTCATAGACATGGTCTATAAGAACATTGTGGTGCAGCAGGTCACCTGATGTCAGTGTTGTTACCAGATGCTTAAACATAAGCAGGTATAGCAGTTCAGAAATATAGCTTATTGATGATGTAGCCATAACATACAGTATCCTGAAAGAAAATATTAGCTTTATTGTAAAGTGACTATTGACCTCTCATCAAAAGAGCAAACAACTAAATAAGAAAACTGAATCTCCTCTGAAACAGTACATCATCATCAGCCTCTATCTAACCTTTTGTTTTTGCTGCAATATTATGGGAGTAGCTTGATATTATTCAGCTACTATAATGTCTAGTTGTGTAGGCCCAAGAATAATAACAGAAATATCAATATCAACATCCCAGTTTCATTTCAATTGTTACATATATCGAAAGAGAACAGTGTGGTGCGCACCACAATCTAAGTTCCATTTCATGTATTGAAGTAGTGGCAGCTGGATCTGGAGATGTGGTATATTAGCATCCTTTAAATACAAACAGCAAACTGCAAACCAGACATGGCCTACATTTGATACACATAGGGGACGATATATTCAGGTGGAAGAACATAGCAAGATGACATCACTGTTTGAAACTCCGGCGGGGCCAGGTGAGTGTTAGGGCCGAGCAGCGATGAGCAGCCCCCCCCCAGCCACCAGGGTACTGACTCACAACAACACCTCAGTGTCCGCTCTGAGGTTTCCCTGTCCCCATCAGATTCTCCTAAAGCTTCTTTCGCCCACAAACAGCCTTCTACGTGCGCTTCCTGCCGCTACATCCGTCAGCCAGGCTCTGACGTGTCCGAACATGGCGAGCAGAACAACACTGTGCTGTTGTTTCAGCATCAATGACCCAGGACCCATCGACATGCACTGGTGAAGAGGTGGGTGAGCGATAGGCTGTCTGGCACCAGGGAGCAGTTGGGGGTTCAGTGCCTTGCTGAAGGGCCCCTCGGCAGGGCCCAGGAGCTGAACAGCACATATCTAGCTACCAGAAACATAACAGGTGTTAACTCAACAAAACTGACCTCCTACAATTCTTCTTCTTCTTTAGTGTTTATTGGCAAACCAACTTGTAGGTGCATTACCGCCACCGACCTGCTACAATGAAAACCAAGGAACCTATATAGTGGCTTGGCCAAACCAAGTTGAACCCAAGGGATAATTAATAGTCACACCATACACAAAGGACACTGACAAAACCCAAATCCCCCCTTTGACATGGAAGCAGGTGGTTTGTCCCAATCGGCTCCTTGTAGTATTTATGAGTCCTTAGCGCTCGGTCACACCCTTTGCTGAACCAGGAAGTAACCAATGGACATGGTAACTCAAGAGACAAAGTAATTATTACAAACAAATACTTGTGTTAGCTGTGCTAAAATGTTTGAAGTAATGTTAGATTACAATCAAATAAAGACTTTACCATTTAAAGCAAATGTGTGGTGTTAATTGGCATGTTTGATTGTAGCTGCACTGAAGCAAAACTACTGAAGATGAGGATGCAGTGTAGTTGGTTTACCTTGTGTGGCTGTGGCCATCACAATGACCAACACACGTATGTAACTCAAACCTGGCGGAACACTCATTTTAAAACAATATGTTTATTCATTTTTCATTCTTTTAAACAACAAGACACACCATCCCATACAAAACTTGCGACAACAAAACATTAAAATAAAACATGTGAAAAACAGAGACAAAGAAAAGACATTACAAAAATTAAATTGAAATATAAAATATATAATAAAAATAAGAGACATTAATGAAATTAAATAAAAAAATAAAAATAAAATTGGGCAGTAGCAACATTATCCTAAAAAGTGTACATAGTCACAGCAGTTTAAGAAGTACTTTACTTTCCATTCAACCAGATCGCTCTCATGGATTCCCATTGTTATTTCTTAGCATGTTTGACACATTAACATCACCTAACAGTTGAGTAAACGGGTCCCAAACCCTATCATAGGTTTCATTTTTCCTTTTCAGAATATACGTTATCTTTTCCATAGAACAGCAATGACTCATTTCCCTCAGCCATTGGCCCACATGTGGCCTCTGAGTGTTGGAACACTCAATGAACACAGAACACTCTTTGACTTTGTTCACTGGTAACACGTGTATCAGCCTGACAATAAGAGGGCAATGTTGTTGAACAAATGGGAAGTCTGCCAGAATCAAAAACTACATTTATTTTTCATGAAAGAAAAGAGAAATGACCCAGACCAATCTCCGAAAAAATGTAACCAAGCGGATCACATCTTGAGGTTTTGAGCATCTAAGGGTTTAAGTTCATTTGGACAAAGAAATGAAATATTTTGAACAACACCCTTCACAATATGGATTATTACCCAATTCTCATTTATTAAAGTTCTTCCAAGTGAGTAATCATCGTCCTGATGTTTAAAAAAAGAGGCCTATTGATTCAATTAAACTCCAAGTTAACCATCAAGATAAACCAATTATTATGAATGTGAACAATTAAAGGGGAAAATGAACTTTCCTGCACTATACCATCAACAGATGTGCCAAAACATTCGTTATGCAAAAAAATCTAACTACTGGAAAGAATACACATGAAAGATTCAAATGTATTGTTGGAGAGAATGCGGAGAGCAGACGACAAACCATAGTCATAAATAGTGGTCTTATAAAGTTTTAAGTGGCTTCTGGGAAACGTTTATATTAAAAATGTCAACTATTTGTATTACCCCTCTAAATAAAAACCCACTGAAGAAACTATCATTTGTTGGAGTTGTGGTTCATGGAACATCCCATGTGGTGTGCACATTTAAACACTGGATCCAGCAGGCTGTTAACGTTTTATTCTCAAATGATAGTTGACAAAGGTTTCGCTGCTGTGGAGGATTTTATCTAAATAAAAAGGAATATTTACAAACTATTAGCAGTCTTACAATAACCACAATAATTATAATGATAAATAAGGTTCAGTATTCCACTTACATCATGTCATGCATCCACAGGATTAAACTATTTTCTTTAACATAGGTATGGGTCAAAGGGAATCTAGAAGGCGGATCTAACATAAACAAAACAGTCTGTTAAAGTAAAGCTAAACATTTCATCAACTGATTTAAGTACAAACAAGTCAGCTCCATGAGCCAACTCACAGTTCCTTTGTTCTTCAGTCTCTGGTGGGAAGGAAGTGAGTGACTGGCCTGAAGGGCGGAGCTTTAAAGACTTTGATGGGGGAGTGGTCTACACTTGATTGACAGAAGTGGTGATGCAGGTTGAGAGGGGAGAGACTTGTGATCCCACTTGTATTAATACTTGGAAAAAATCCAGAACAAATCTATAAGAAAGATGCCAACTTATTCCTTGTAAATATAGTAGCATTAAGTAAACAAATGACAGGCAACTGGTTAAAAGATAACTTCATTAAATACAATTGTAATGATCACATATCAGTTACATTACCATCACCATCAGGTCAAACTGCCTCATTGCTGGATAGACTAACTAGCAGCAAAATCTTCCGTTTTCAAAACTAACATCAACTACAGAAATTGATGAAACAATGATGTGCTACTGCCTAGCCCGTTACTTTATGCTGTTATATCCAACAATGCTACCAAACCAACTTCACATTAACAATGGAGAATCACAAAGAGATTTCGTTTTCCTACGGGAAGAGGACATTTGGATCCATCAGAAGAAAAACATAGAAATGGGTTAAGACACACAGTAAAGTCGAGCACACTGGTGTACTCATCGGGAACATCTTCCAAAATGCAGTCACAGAGGTCCTGCCCGTCGTTCACACTGCCTTGACAACAGTCATAGGTCACGGGAGAATAAATGTTGTTTAGGATACAGAGCCGCTTGGAAATCTGATCATTGTAAAACTGTTATAGACATAGTGGAAGTGTCCAAAATAAGGAAGCAATATTTCCAGACAGACTTCAGCTTCAGGAACAACTTTATTTCAGCTGCTGTCAGAGAGCCTTCCTGTTTCTGACATTTTTACACTTGGGTTTAACACAGGGGCAATACTTACATTCCCATATCTTACACAATATTGAAATAATTCCTTTTGCTTGTTGATCAGCTGAACATTATGATCAAAACAACGTTTTTGCTGTAATGGCTTATTGACAGTATTGAGATTCTGATCCAAATGATGTTTTAACGTATGTAAAACACTCCAAACAATATTTATTTCATCATTAGTATCGAGGTGTTGGTAAACTTGAATATAAAGTAATTGTGAATGATCATCTCGTTTAATGACTACTTCCTATTTAAAGACTGCTTCTACTACTAGAGCTATGGTTCACCCTGGTTGTGCCGAATGTGTGTGTTGGATTGCCTTTCTGACATTATGATGTGTGTCCTCGAGTTCCACTGAGCGCGTGTCACTTTATGTGCTGCCCCTGAGCGGAGGATAGACAGCAGCAGCTGTAACTCACACAGAACAAATGGGGTCAAGGGATGCCAAAACTGTTCTGACTGGAAAGCCAGAGGTCAGCAAGGCAGCAACACATCCAGCAACTCAAGAGAGTGACTCAGAGCAACGTCTATTTCTGAACAGGCTGGGCACAGAGAGCTCGGTCAAAGATACAATCTAAAGTCAAGCTCTTGTGCTCCAACATGCTAACATTCAGTTAGTGTGTGGAAACTGTGGAATTCATCTTTCTAGGATGTGGTCAGTGAATGTTGTTATTGCATTTCACCGTCTCTCAGAATACACCTTCATCCATTCTATTGATGCAAGACCAGTCTGAACAACGCATGCAGGGATTAGTTTGTGACTTATTAATGTCTTCATTTTCCATCAACCTTCATCATCTGCTGCAGTAAGTGTATCTACACTGTCACACATAATTCATTCATCATGGCACTAAAGGTCCTTACACTGTTATTTTGGGACGTCTGCGCCAAAACTGACAATTGTGAGAAATGTGACAAAACATTGTCAACTTTCTGACCTGAACACTATCGGCAGAATGACATCATTTGTTGGACAACAAGTATTTGTAAAGTAATGCTCTGAGGGATCTTGGTTTGATTCAAAATGACCACATTGCATAGTTAAGGTGACCTTCGGTTGTCATTGCTACAATAAATCCTTGGTAATGTTGACTGTTGCCAGGAAACGGAAATGTCTCAATAATTGATGTCTCAAAGTCAGACATTTTGTTGACCCACCCACCCCACTGGCCTTCAAATCAAGAGGACATGAAGTCACGCTGGATACCCTTGCAAATGTGAACTTTTGAGCACTTATTGAAATATTGACATGGTAGTTCTACAATGTAAATGAAAAAGTTGGTCCTAAACGTGATACAGTGTAGTCTGACACAGATTACGACCAATATTTTATTAGAGTCAACTTGCACAGTGTGCCATGCAACGAACCCACAACATCATTGTTATTTTATGTAAAGACCACAGTTCTCTCTGATTGTCAGGGACCGACACCAAAGTGTGCCTTCCCCTTAAAGATTTATATTACTATAGCATTTATACCTCCACTGCAGCTGTAACAAATATTAGGTCAAATGATTATGTATGTTAATGATTGACCAGAAAGATGGACAATACAAGACTAAAAAACATAACATCCTAAAACTCAAATTGTAACACAGCACTTTTATAACTTATTTTAAGTAGCAGTTTATCAATAATTGTTTGTTGTTTGATCCCTCACCAAGCAACAGTTCACCAGTTAACATTACTGATGAGGAATGTCCATTACAATATGAAGCAATTCCCACAGTAAAAAGCAAAAAATATTAAAGGTTTATAAAAAAAGCCATTAAACCTATGATGTAAAAAATATGAACTTTTATCCTGTGTCTCATTCTCGTATAAGCCCGTGAACTGAGAGTCACAACCCTCAACTCTAGCCAATATAATACTTTAGTGTTCTTAAAATCCCCAAACCCAGACGTACAGCAGGTAGACAGAAGCAGCGTGCAAAAGTGGAGTGTGGCGTCCACAGGGTCACACTCGGACCCGGAACATGTCCTGGCTCCACTGCAGGCGGAACAGTCGACAGTTGGCGATGCGCAGGGCTGCGCACGCTGTTTTGGAGAGATCGTTGGGTAACATGGGTCTGGTGCGCTGCCACGTCCCAGTACTGCGGCGAAACTCCCTTATGTAGTCGAAACTTGTTCCTGTAGGTCAGAAACAGCAAACTCACACATCTAAATATTGAGCGGACTGTAACCTGATCAGAAAACTGTGGTTGTTGGACCTGGTTTCTCTTACTGACCGGTGTCCAGGTCTCCAACCACATAGATGCTGGCTCCGATGGGCACAGCGCCATAAACGAAGGAGGAGCTGGTCTGGATACACAGGGTCTGATCATCCAGGAACATCCACCTGTACTCAGCATTACACACATATTGGTATCAAAACAATTGGTTCTGTATTTTTTATTGAAAACTTTCTTATTTTCATATTAGGAAATATGTAGGAAATTGATAGTTGAATATTCTGTTCCATTTTGTACGACAGTCAAGTGTATATGATTGCACTGTACAATGCATTCTCTATTTATGTCTCGTGTCCCCACCAAATTAACTTCACAATGGAAATGAAAAAAATGGTTGATTTATCATTAGCCCATATAAGGGGGGGAACAAAGACAGACAATGGCTGTTTTGCAATTTCATCTGGAAATACATATCTTTTATTATATTATATAAATGCTATATTTAGTGCCAGGAACTGTATTTTGTTCATTAATGTAACTGATGGGAATCCATTAAAGAATACAAATGTAGAAAGTCCTGCTAATCAAGATCATGCAATAAAGTCAACATTTCCAAAAAGACTCAGCTGTTTTTTCCAAGGCTAAATGGAACTTTGAGTCAAAATGTTTAGACAATAAAGACATTTTCCTTAAAGAAATTGAAGTATTAAAGAATCTAATACAAGTTTTTTTAAATGTGGTATAAAAGTAGCTTTAAAACCCTCCTAGACGAACTGCTCCCATACTGACCTCCTCATCTCGTCATGGTAGAACTCAGACTTGCAGGTCATCATCTGCCTTTGCTCTGGGTTTTCTTGCTCTTTGCTTCTCACTCCGCCAAACACGTAGAGCTCCTTGCCAACGCCACACGCCACCGACCCAAACCTGGCCAGGGAAATTATTGGGAGTGAATGTCTCCTATTGGCTAATTCCTGACAAATCTTGAGACAAAAGTTATCAACTGACAAGAGACCAGTATTGACATAGATAGGACCCTATGATCAAAGGTTTCACAGCGCAGAAGTTAATCATGGACAAACTAGTTAATGTGAAAGATGCAAGTATTTGCTCGTTTCAAATCATTACCCATATAAATGGTAGTACGAATCAAAGCATATGCAAAGACAAAGACTGAATATAACATTTTTACCTTGTTGTTGTGATTTTCACAGTTACTTATATCATTTTATTTTAAACGTTATTATCCTTGTGTGAACTCTTGTCTGTACTGTGCTGTATTTCATGCCTAGTCTGTTGCTGCTTTAAATCCTACATTTCCCTACAGGGATTAATAAATGTCCATCTTAAATATGTCTTCACCTTAAAGCCTGTCTCACACTGTCCCGAAATTGACACCAGATGGACACACGATAAAGGAAATGTTCAAATTCGGCTCTGATCGAAACATCGGGCCATTCGTGAGGGCATCTTAAGCCATCGTATGACCGCCGGCGGAGTTTCTCAGGCTTCGGCAGCAACTTCGTGAGCGGTGGCAAAATCTTTGGCATGCCAAAAAATTGCCGAAGGACCTTGCGAAGGTTCATTTTCGTGTTGAATTCCTGTGTCCATTTTGCCCTTCGTAAGGCCATCGTGAGGGCATCTTGTCAAATCGTGTCATCTTCGCCTTTACTTCGTGTGATCATCGGGCATTTTTCGCCTCATGAAGACAATACGAAGGAAACAAGAAGCTGCCCGATTGTCTTAGGAAGGCAACACGACTACGTGAAGCCCTCGCAATGCCGTCGTGTAGCCATCGTATTATAGTACGATGTAGGGGTGTAACGGTTCACAGAAGTCACGGTTCGGTTCGTACCTCGGTTTGGAGGTCACGGTAAGGTACGGTTCGGTACAACAAGAAAAAGCAAAAAAAAGTCCCAAATGCATAATTCCAGGTTTGTTGTTATTTATGTTTGAACAGTAGTGCAAGTTTCAGTTTAAAAATAAAGAACTCTGACATTTTGAATAATTAACTGTATTAAACAGTTAAAAACAAACCATACACAGTACCACACACACTCAGATGGCAATATTATCTATAATGGCTGATGTCAAACAAAAAGGTTTCATCAAGCTGTAAAACTAAAAAGAATGTCTTGAAAATATGACATCATAAATAATAAGAAAGTGTTTCAAGAGCGCATAGTCGTTGAAAAACATATGCCAAAAGCTTCCGTTATTTATTTTGGTCTCACGGCTTTCATGTCTCTTGGCTATTTAAAAACAGCGGGGATCAGCTGTTGAACTGCTGCTGTCTTTTGCCGGGCTCCGGTGATTGGCAAATCTGGGTGATGCCTTCTGATATGATTTAGCATGTTTGGCGTGTGTTCCCATTAGCATACCGCACCACTGTAGAACAACGGCGACACACCGTCCTCGTCCGATCCACCACTCGCACACTTAATCGTTATTGTAGTCCACAGGGAACCCGAAATGTTCCCACACAGCTGATTTAAAAGAAGCAGGTGGGTTCTAGCTCCTGTGTGTTATCTGAAATCGCCATACTAACTTTTCTTCTTCTTGTATTTTGTTCGTTTTGTTGTTGTGTTTCTTCTTGTTCTTCATTTGTTGTTTCAGGGCGGCTGGCAAACAGCTTTTAGGCGCAATACCGCCCCCTGGATTATAAATAGTGTAGTGGATACTGCCCTGAATGACAGACTTTTTTCCCACTCGTAAAAAAAAGGTGTATTCGTCGTGTGACTGCGTGTGCCCAACCGTGACGTCTGAACCGTGACGGTACGGGACGAATACGGATACCGTTACACAGTACATGTCAAAATTCTTCCCAAAGGTCAAGGAATACCATGATCATAACACCAGAGGGAGCTCCACAAATCATGTGAAACCCAGATTTGGCACAAAAAAGGGGGAATACACGTTTCGCAATTATGCCACATCAAGGTGGAACGCTCTTCCCACAACTGTAAAGGAAAGTAAAACTATACTTACCTTCAAAACCTCTCTTAAAGAGCACCTTCGGGGGAGAGCATTGCAAAACTGGCCCCGGTAATGGTACAAATCTCAACCTGTCGTTCAATGGACAGCTTCCCCCCCCCCCATCTATGTATATACTCGCATTTTAGACTCTGTTACTAACTGTATATCTGTAGACTTGGTATGTCTTAAATGTCCGGTTAGGATGTATTAGAACAAAATCTAAAATGAAAATTGTAAATAAGCAATCTGTATGTAAAAAACCACCTGTATGTAAATTGTAAATAAGCCATCTGTATGTCAAATATGTCTTATATGTCTTAAATGACATGATGAATTGGAAATGGGGGACCCTGATGTAAACAAGACGAAAGTCTTTCTCTGGTCTGCATCCCCTTAACAATTGTATGTTTTGAGCTGTACTGTACTGTACCCAATATACAAGCTGTTAATACACTTTTCAATCAATCAATCAAACCCTAGTACGATGACATCGAGATGGGACCACGGTGTCTGCGAAGACAGCCGAATTTGAGTAGCTCAAGCGTTTCCCATGTGTCATGGTAACGTGGACATATAAAAGGCCAGCCTCAGAGTATCTTCCTCAGTCAATCCTGAGCAACTCTACAGAGCAGAGGCGTGTGTAACTCCCAAAGCTTCAATCACAATTCATCACAATTCAGTTCCTGCAGAATGGCATACTTTGGTGATGACCAGGAAAAAGAAGGCCGCAGCATTACTTCTTTTGATGCACCTCAGAGAACATGATGAGCAACTCTTACAGGTCCAGCACCTCCTCTTACAGGTAAAAATAGTCTTATTTCACTTTGTCATTTCTTGCTATTTGTGACCTGCTCTATCGAAATCAGTAGCAGTGATGATACTTGTATTAAGCAGGTGAAACAGGAGCATGAGGACACAGTGTGCTATGTTTCCTTGAAGATCGCTTCTCTGGTTGTTTTAATGCACAACAAAATCATGTAAACATATTATGTAAATAACCCAATTTGTGTTCTGTGAAACTGAAAAGGATATTACATTGTTTTTGTTACTTTCGTTGCAGTTGTATGTCTTAAATGTAATTTAGGTTAACTTCCTGTTTTATTTAGATGCTTTTATTTTGAAGGCGAGTTTACGCTGTTGACAGGGAGTTGTTGTTGCTATGGAAACAACATGCCTTCGTGTGTGGTTGGGGTGCCATCCCGATGGCAAGTACGATGCCTTCTGTAGGCATTGTACTTGCTTCGGCTGTTGCTTGGCTGTTGACCAAGTTCGGGGCCATCTTCGTGCGAAATTCACAATTCCATATTCGTGTGTCCATCTGGTGTCAATTTCGGGACAGTGTGACACCAGCCTTAAGGATGACGGGTTCTCCAATAGGCGCGTTCACACCGCAGTACTTTTCACACCAAAAAAATCCGGAACTAAAATGAGTTCATGAGAACCCCTTTTCCGTCCCTGCTAGAGAGCAGGTACTTTCGTGGGAGAAAAAGGTTCCTATTTCTGATTGGCTGGGCGGATTGCAAACCACGCCCCGTAAAACTCCCAAAAAGTTTTGTGAAGCCGCCATTTTATTATCCTTGCATTAGCATTATTAGCATTAGCATTAGCCCATCGCAAAAACACAGAGACTAACTTATGGCAACACAAAAGAAAACATGGGAGCGGTGGAGATAAGGAGGTGTCAGCGTTCTGGCGATTTACTCGGAAGGCTTCAGTAGAAGCTGCTGGGAGTCCCAGCAGCTTCTACTGAAGCCAGTCCCCAACTCCGGGGACTTCCGGCCGGGGACTTCAGGTGGCAGTATACGCCGTGAAGTTGTTTGCGGCCTGCCAGTAAACCCAAAGCAGAAGAAGAAGAAGTGACGTCAGCGGCTCATTTGCCTAATCCTCCCCCAGGGACTTACTCCGGTGTGAACGCGATCTGTACTGATCTAAAGAGTTCTCAGGAACCTTTGTGGGAAAAGTACTGCGGTGTGAATGCGCCTAATGACTCAAGTGTGACTCAACATCCTCAGTTATAGTCTGACGATCTGCCATTTGAGGGATATTAAACTGAAGACAAAACTGACAGTTGTGGGAGAGCTACACACAAGTTCAGACTTAAATATCACTGTCAAAGCGAGTGCGTATTATGTGACAGAAATGTCTTCACTGGACAGAAAATACACAATAACATGGAAAGAAAATAAACAAATATTGCATTTTATGTAAGATTATTTTGTCCTGACCACAGCAGCTAATGCTACAGGATTGTGCTTACCTTCTCTCCTTCAGAGGACAGAGGCCCGTCCACTGCAGGGTTTTCGGGTCGTAGCATTCAACGGAGTCAAACAGCTTCCCGTAGGAGCCCCCGCCGATGGCATAGATCTTCTTATTCATGGAGGCGTAGCAACCCACCTGAAGGAGCAGAAAAACAGCTGTACGAGTCACAGCATGTTTGGAAGTGGTCTCGGTGGAAAATTCATCACTTGGTCTGAGTGTTGTATTGGCCCTGGGCCCATTCTTTACTTTTTTCAGTCATTTCAGTAACATTGTGTGAGATAGCGAGCTAAAAAATAAGAGGCAGGAAAAGTCAGTTTTTATGTTGTATGGAACTATTTTTCCATACAAGTCTATATAGTTGGGTTGAGAGAAGGTTTTGATTAGCACTGAAACGAAAAATGGACAGAACATTTTTTTACTTTTATTTTGAGAGATGCATAACATAAGGGACAGAGAAGAAGGATGACCTTCAACATCCACAGCCAAAATTAAACCAGAGATTCTGCAATAACAGTCAGTATCTTAAGATATTGTCTTAAGATACTTATTTTTGTTGCGTATAAGTGTATAACTTTAACCTGATGGTGCTAATAGAAACATTTACAGGGTTCAGTGATTACTTTTATTAGGTATGTTTATCAATGGCTTTTTAATACTGACCCACTTAAAAAACAAAACTGAACGGAACATTATCTATTGGTAAGGGCTGGGTATTATTCATAAAGTAGCTGGAACTGACATCTTGGCCACCTGTCACTTATAAATAACATTACATTACTTGCTTAATCTATCTGTTAAAGTGGTGGCCTTTTTGTCATTCAGGCAGAGCCCTAAATATTTTAATGGAATAAGGCAATGACTTGGGGCGATACTTTTAAAATAATAACAATGTTACCATATTGCTTCAGGACCTTCCTCATTATCTGCTGTATGGGATCATCTCAAAAGTCCATTCGGCATTGTTCCACCAGCAGTAAGCAATGTATTATGTGTGTCCAGTGGAGCTAGTGGACACACAAGTGTTGGAGACAAGCAGCAGGGGCAGATGAGAAATAGCTGGTACACAAGTCCACAGAGATGAGAAAGTAAATGCTGCAGCTCCTCCTGAGGTTTGTTTAGTAGCAGTTGGATTTACTAACAGAGCTGCTGTGCTCCCAGATCTCAGTCTAAGGGGGAGACGGACCTTCTGAGTGAGATTATTTCAGAGAGCCCTAGTTAAACATTTGACTGATATGACTAAATAACATGAGCCGTAAAAGTGATCAGAATCCAAACTATCTATGACATGAACTATTTTGATAGTCACAACTGATGTGTTTTTATTTATTATTTCAGCAGTAAAACTCTTAGGTGTTCTTGATTTTAAAGTTATAACATTAGTTTTTAAGCTGTAATCAGTAGTTTCTTTAAGGTTATCCTTAGTGTTTATTCTATTGACATATGTTTATTAATTATTAACATTTTAATGTTTCATTATTAATAAGTTTAGCAAAAATGTATATATTGTTGTTTCTTGCTTCTTCATAATCCTTTGGATGTCTGTATTAAAGGTGCTTTATTAATACATACAATAGAGTTGAGTAGACCTGAATGTTAAACATACCAATTTAGTTTCATAAGTTATTGTTTATCAGAATCAGAATACCTTTCTTTATCCCACAGAGGGGACATTTACATTGTTACAGCAAAAGTTAGGCTAGAGACAAAAATATATAAAATAAAACACTATTAGATAAAAGGGCATGCACAGAAATATAAAATGTTGTCCACCACCTCCACAGTGTCCAGGACCTTCTCTAACAGTCTGTTCAGTCTCTTCCTGTCAGCAGCCGAGATGCTGCTGCCCCAGCAGACCACACCATAGAAGATGGGTGAGACCACCACAGTCATATGGCGCATTTCCACTGCAGGGCCTCGCTCGGCTTAGTACGGTATAGTTAGGCCTTGGTAGGCCAGGCTCACTTTATGCTGCGTTTCCATTACAACAGTCCAACAGTAGCTGGGGTAGTAACTATAGTAACGCAGTGTAGGCGGAGCCGTGACGTCATCTTCAATACGAACCACAGAAAACCAACATCAGCCGTTAGCTGTTAGCAACGTGTATTACAATTAAATCACGGTCAAATATGTTCATCTTGTTGTAGTTGTAGCCCCCTTGCCAGCGATTCTCTCTCTAGTTTAGCATACTCAGCCCGACTCAGCCTGGTTGTTGGCCCGGAAAGAACCTGGATTTTATGGGGCCAGAAAAACTGTGAAATAGTACCTGCTAGCCGGTACTACGCCAAGTGGAAACGCAACCGTGCACGGCACGCTTAAACCGCGCTGTAGTGGAAATGCGCCATTAGAAGGTCTGCAGGAGGGCCCCCTCACCCCAAAAGACCTCAGTCTCCTCAGCAGGTACAGTCTGCTCTGTCCCTTCTTGTACAGAGCAGCAGAATTATCAGTGCAGTCCAGTTTATTGTTCAGATGAACACCCAGGTATTTGTACGATTTCACAATCTCTATGTCCGCTCCCTGGATGTTCACTGGTGTGTGTGTGGTGGTGGTGGTGGGGGAGGGGGGGGGGGGGGGGGGGGAGTGTTGGCGCCGTCTGAAGTCCACCACTATGTCACCGTGTTGAGCTGGAGGTGGTTCCTCTGGGGAACGTTACGTTCCATGTCACTTGTTAGAGGCTTTTATCCAACACGACTTACACACATTCAGTTCTGTGGGCAATCAGCCTCTCCCCTGATCCGAAGATCACTTCACTATCCCACTGAGTCACTCATTAGAGATGAGGCCAACGATGGTAGAGTCATCAGAGAACTTCTGCAGGTGACAGGAAGCAGTGAAGAGGGTGAAGTCTGCAGTGTAGAGGGTGAAGAGAAACGGTGCCAGCTGGAGCTCCCTCCTCACCTGGTTGGTTGTGAGGGACAAGGTGCAGTCAGCGGGTGGGGGGGTTGGTGATAAACAGGAGACACGATGGTTGTAAGAGTGACTGTGAGCTGATGGTCGGGGGGTGAGTAGAGGTGGGAGAGGGCCATTTCCAGGCTGTGGGGACAATGTGGGGTGCAGTAGGGGGAATGGGGAGGGGCACCAGACTGGTCAAATCTGTTAAATGTTCAGGTCGTTTGCCCACTGCTGGTCCCCCCGGACCTGGGAGTCTGGCTCTTTGTAGCCAGAGATGGTCTTCAGGCCTCTCCAGCTGTTCCTCCATCCTCTTCCTGAAGCTGCTCTTCCACTCTCTGATCTTCCACCTCAGCTCCCTCTATATAATCCTCTCTGTTCCACAATCTGAAGGCCCTCTTTTGTCCTTCAGGAGAGCCTTTATCTCAGGGGTGATCCAGGGTTTGTTGTTTGCAAAACACTGTACAGTCCTCTTGGGTAGTACGTTTTCCTCACAGAAGTTGATTTCATCAGTTATACAGTCAATTAGGCTGTTGATGTCCTCCCCGTGAGAGTCAGTGAACACATCCCATGCAGTAGTGTCAAAACAGTCCTTCAGGGCCTCCTCAGACCACTTCTTCATGATGTGTGTGTGGACACCGGCAGTCTGTGGACCAGAGGTTGATACACAGGCAGGAGGTGAACCAGATTGTGGTCCGATCTGCCCAGGAGAGGAAGGGGAGATGAGCTGTATGCCTCCTTGGTGTTGACATACAGTAGGTCCAGTGTTTTATTGTCTCTGGTGGTGCAGGGGACATATTATTTGAATGTGTTTTTGAGAGAGAGGCCTGATTGAAGTCTCCAGAGATTAGGATGAGGGCATTAGGGTGCTGTGATTGCAGTCTGCAACAGTTGGAGTTGACGTCACAAGCGTGAATTTTCGTGGCAAACAGTGTGTTCTGATTTTTTACCTAGGTTCGATGTGATCATTCATAGCGATATTACCATTCCCTGCTTTATTTCTGATATTCTAGAATGTATTATGCAACATTATCTTAACAGCACATTTGGGATACAGAGGTTACTGCTGTTGTGATCATATTTTGTCCCAGTCATAAACTGAGTTACATGTCCTACTATCTTGTCAATGTGATATTAATATGTGTGTTGTTACCTTGCGGATCATGGTCATACTGGTCTGCATTTTCCAGGCACTGCAGTGAGGGTCGAACACCTCCACAGTGGTCAGCTCTCTTTCTTTGGTCTCTCCTCCGAGGACGTAGATCAGACCGTCCAGCTCCACCACGCCAAAGTTCTGACGCGGCTGCGTCGAGATCAAAAGCAGCAATGAGACACACACTCAATCCCACAGAAGCTCCACACACGTGATGCAAGACTGCTGTTATGTCTTCCACAGCTGTTTTAAGCAACAATTTAGATAATGGTTTACAGTATATGAAATTAATCTGATATTATTATTGATCAAAACAATAACATCTCGAACAATATATCTTAGTCTGATGTGCATCCATAAGTATTGATGAGTGTACAACAAGAAATATTCAAAATATAATGTGAATGACTTTTCCTATAAAGCGGCATAAGGGACAAGGGGTTGATTTGTCTGTGTCAATTCTGCTGTTACTGCTGACACCTAGTGGCCATAAACACCAGCAGATTCCAATTAAATTGTTTAGCTTTTTTCAAATCACTCAGTGTAGTAAAAGAAAAGAAAAAGGGCAGAGAAATTGTCAGAAAGAATTGTACAGTAAAGATCAGCCGTTTAAATAGTTTAGTGGAGGGATGAAAGTGCTTCTCTCAGGAGAAGTACAGTCGTACCTGTAGCATTGGGGGTATAGGGCTCCAGGTGTTGGTGTCAGGGTCATATTTTTCTCCACTGTCTAGGACTGTGTTGTGTTCATCTGCTCCGCCGATCGCAAACAGGAAACCCTCTAATAGACAGAAGCAGAGTAGGATTATTATAGTTCGATAGTACAATTTATCTTCATTTTTAATGATGATCATTCATTCAGGCAGGGGCGGCGCCAGGGGGGAGCTAGGGGGTGCTGAAGCACCCCCCAGGATTGCCAAAGCACCCCCAAGAAAAATGGGGTAATTTTTTTTTTTTCAAAAATTATTATTATTTTTATTAAATTAGAAAAATTGTTGATTACATCAATGCAAATGTGAAACAAATAAATGTTTGACCAAAAACATAAAGCCAACACAGGTGATATGATTAGGCCAATGTCCAGCACCCATTCGATTTTTGACCTACCCATAGGGTAAATTACTTTGTGACACTTCCTGTTAGCTGGAGCCCCAAATGATTTGCTAACAGCAAAGTGACAAATGGATCGTTTTTTAGTCCTTAAACGTCCACGTGTGGCCACTCAATCAAAACCACCTAAAAGCGAGAGGGATTCTGCACATAATAGGCCTCGTGAGTACAAGTAGCTTACTTCTGGGTCTCTGTGTTTCATTCATGCTCTGTGTGTGTGATGTGTGTGACGAGCCATTTTGTGTGCGTGCGTGCGCGAGCGAGAGAGCTCGCCTCGCGCACCAGTGGGTATCTACTGGAGATTGTTGTGGTTAGCATCTGGTGCTAGCTAGCCAAGCTAACGGATATAAGGAGCTTTTTCAACAACAAGGTGGAGGGAGAACTCTCTCCTGTCAGACTGAGAGTCTCAGATAACCTCAGCTCAGGTGAAGTAAAGGACTCTCTCAGTGTTTAGTTAACTTTAGTCTAGTTATCTCAGTGGGTCTCAAACGGTTTGTTTTAAAAGGGGAGTGATTTGTAAAATATCTATAAAGAAATAGAAAATCTGTTTACAGTTCTGTTTCATATGTATGTTGAGAGATACTGTATATCCATAGATCTCTTCATTTTGGCTCTCAAAGTGCACCAGATTGATGCTTTTAACTTCAATATTTAAAAACAAATCTTCAAAGAGGGACCCCACTAGAGGAGGTGAGGACCCTCCTAGAGGAGGTGAGGTCCACTCCCCACTTGTAAAAATAGCACTTTACTCACACCTATATGCCGTGAGCTGATTACCGAGCCTTCATTGTAACAGTCGCGGGTACACTGTGTGTGTGTGTGGGGAGTGTGGCAGTAGAAAATTCAACTGTAGCGCTGGTGCATTAATGGGAAACCCTTAATGTTTGAGCACCCTCTATGAAACCTCAAGCTACCCCACAGCACCCCCTAGAGAAAATCTCTGGCGCCGCCACTGCATTCAGGTGATGACTAGCTACAGATGTGTTTCCTGCAGGACTTCAGGTTATGGCTGGGCCGCACTGACCGGCAGTGACGACCCCGTGGCCCAGGCGGGGGGCGCTCATGGGCTGCAGCGTAATCCAGGCCTGCCTGCTGGAGTCGTAGAGCGGACACATGCAGCGCGTCTCAGAGGTCGGCTTCCTGGTTCTGTACAGGAAAAATCCATCAGGTGGTAGCATGTTAGCAGAACATTTGATTTTGGGAACTCATGACTAATTTAACCAAATTTCAGTGTAAAATAACATTATTTATCCGTCATAATTATATCATTATCTTTTCCTAAAAATGTTTGTGGAGTGAAGAGCTTCTTTGTAGCTCATAAATGAACACTACACCTGTCCGCCAAACATCAAAGCTTATAATTATTACAGTTATGGTGGAGATATACAGTATATATCATTATTAGGGTGGTCCTTAAAATTGAAAGTGGGGAAGTCTAAGCTCCAGCCCCCAGAATTCATTCTATTAGTCAAGAAAACTCTCCTGGATAATTGTTTCCTCAATCTGACAACATTTACCCCTTCCTCATCGACCTTGAAGTTTAGCCTCAGTTGCTGGTGTGGCAGCCCAGGTCGATGAGGGAGGGGTACATGTTGTCAGATTGAGGAAAAAATTCTCCAGGAGAGTTTTCTTGACTAATAGAATGAATTCTGGGGGCTGGAGTTTAGACTTTCCCACTTTCAATTTTAAGGACCACCCTTCAAACTTGATGAGGGAGGGGTAAATGTTGTTGGAATTTGAATAAAATTCACCAGGAGAGTTTTCTTGACTATCATAAGAAATTACAGAGGTTGGAGCTTGAAATAAATGAATTCAAAATTGACATGGCACAAAGGACCACCCTAATCATTATATGTATACACATATAAAATAAATGTCCGCACTAGCCGCATCCCCACATCCCTGGCGCTCTGTGGTCCTGCCTACATTAGCCTGGGAGCCTGAGGGTTCTGCTAAGTCCGATAAGATAAATTGATTAAAAAAAACTAAAATGGTGAACAGTGACTTACTTGCGATCCTCTCCTCCGGCTATGACAATACATTCTGAGTAACCTCTGGGTTTGAAGGCGGCGAGCAGAGCCTCACCCTGCAGGGGGCCGCCGCCCAGCACCTGCTGGCAGTACTCTCTGATCACCTCCCTCATCAGCGGCTCTCCCATGGCCTGATGGGATACCGTGCATGCACAACAAGGTTAGCTAAAGAGTTAGCCCAGAAGAGTATTGCCTCAAAAACAGCAAACGCAATGTGAAGCAATTACACATAGGGTGTGCTGTTACACTGTGGGTAATACTAAAGAGCAAACATTTCAATCTGGACAGTTCTACCTGCTCTTTCAGGTAGCTTGCATCCAGACCCTGCTGCCACACTGCAGACATCACTTGCTTCATGTGTACCTGCAAATACAGATGGAAGACTCAAGGTTTGATTTATTAAATAAACACAAGCTAAATTAATTCATTTTGGCCACTACTACGAAGCAGGATGTTCGCTTAGCGAGCTGACTTCAGGGAAAACTCTGGCTTTCCGGTCCTACGACGCTGGTTCTCTTCTTACCGGGCTAGATCTCCATGGTAACTTATGCTGAACGGCTAACCTGCTCCGGAGCAGCTTAGGTTGCAGGATAAGAGATCAACTTAGTGAAAGCACCGCCTGCTGACCAATCAGAGCTCAGTGTGCGGAGTTTAAAGCGATCAATTCATATTACAGGATAAAGGAAATACAGAAAAAACGCCGTTGCAGGAAAGACGGCCGGCAAAAATCAACTGACTGTGTGAACGTTAATAGAATATCACCTCCATCTTCAGAGCAATCTGACTATCATAACATTAGCTTTAAGAAAGCTTAATTAAATATCTGCCACAACATAAGTAACCGGATCAAAGTGACATTACGTAGCCTACAGTCCGCAGCACTGTGAGTGCAGACGTCGATGTGTCCCATTATCATTCATATCACATCATAATGTATCATATATCTCCTTATCTGAGTCAGCTGAGCCGTATCTGGCCGTGCAACACTCACAGTGTCACATACTGTATGCAGAAGTATTATTTTAAGCAACACATTAAGTTGACGAAACACTCGAGTCAAATGTAATGAAAGTCAGATTGTGTCTTGGACGGGGCAGTGATATCATAAACCTGTTAATGTCCGCATTCAAACACTTGTTCTGTTACCAGCTGTATTCACCTTGCAGGTGCAGCTCTGTGGCTTTGATCTTGGATAAAGTGTTTAAGTCATGGATGTTTAAAGTTTAACTTCTTCATATTTGACTAATATTAAAGTTCACTTTTCATTCAGGAAGTATGACGCTGCGCTGTCAGTACGCTTGTCCACGTTTGTGATTGGTCAAATGTTGCTAACCCCGCCCCTTTCATGTGAACGTGCTCTCAGCCGGACAGAGAAACCCTGGCTTGAGTTACCGAGTTGATAACCAGCGTCGTAGGACCACTTAGCGAGATCGCGTTTGTTTTGGATTAGGTAAGCCGGTAACTCAAAACATATCCAGGGTCTGTTGAACTGGCTTCGTCGTACAGGCCTCTGGAACAAGCCCATAATACAACATTAAGCGCCTACATATTTTTTATAAAGTGATCATGTTGGAAAAAAGTTTGCATCTTGCAGACAAAGAGATACATTAGCATATAATGGAGTCACATGTCTCCACCTGGTTAATAAAGTAAAATATTCATTCTCCTTTTCTGCTCCTTTTTACAAAAATATCGGCTCTTTGCTGATGAAGCAGCCCCCCAGTGTTAGCCCTATACAAGCTAGTCACTATATGTGTCCATCTGCTATCTGCTGCTTAGGTAGTTTAGAGTAGGGTTTTAATCTTTAAACAGCTGCCTTATTCTGCTACAAACAAGGTGGATGATTACACATGATAACCTTGCAAAACTGTCCCAAATTGGGATCAATAAAGTACTTCTTATCTTATCTCTCTTATCTCCCCATCGAACCTCAAGAGCACATCACAAACCTTGCGATCCTCTGCGTCATGTCCGAACCATCGCACCACAGCCTCCAGGACGTGCCTTTCGTTGCCCACATTCAGTTTCTCCATGGCCAGCGCCTCACAGAGGCGGTCCGCGGGCAGCTCCCTGAACTCCTCAGTGAGGGCCACATCGCCAAAATGTGTCTGCAGGAACTCCGTGGCGACGTAGTGAACATGGTTAAGGCAGTAGTGCAAAGAAAAGAGCCGGATTCCGAGGCAGTTCTCTGCAGTGATGCAGCTCTCTAGGAACTGGCAGCACAGGTCCTTCAGGTCGGTCAGGAGGAGTAGGTCAGACGCCTGAACCATGTCCTGGATGGTCTCTTCATTCAGAGTGATCTGTGTGTGAAGGACAGGTCAATTGGATATACAACAATATACCAGGACAGGCAGGAAACAATTACTAATGTTTACCAGTCCTAAGCATGTCACTGTGCTTCTTTTTAAGCCTACGCACTCACTTCTCCGCTGAAAATGTAGTCCAGGATTTGTTTCATGATGGGCATGGAGACCCCCTGCAGCTCAATTCTGTAGGTAGACCCATCTTCCTTTGGAGGATTGTAGTTCAGCTTGGTCCTAACAGAAAACCATTAACAGAACATATTATGACAAACATGAAAATAAACTATACACCTGATGATCTTTCATCAATTTCTATTTTGGGAGTGCCCATGCTGTAACTAAGTGTCTGGGCTGACTGACTGATGTTCTGACTGACTGATGTTCTGACAGACTGATGGTCTGGCAGACCTGCTCACCTGACATAAGGGCTGGCAGCAGCCAGGATGTTCTTCTGGACAGGAAGCTCCTCGCCATCCACCACCAGCAGCGCATCATGGAAACTTTGCTCCTGCCAGAACAGGCGGAGGACTCTGAGGAGTTTCTGGGAATGTTGTGGGTCCGAAACCTTCGAACCAGGTTCACTTGATAAGGAATCGGGCATGTCTAGACTTGACTTTTAACAAATGAACAGGGGACATTTTTTTATTCGGCTTGCATGAAGGATTACACTTTTTTGGATAACAATCATTTGTAACAATCGGTTAGTAGCCAAACGTTACTCATTAAACGGTTCTCTACATGAACACCAGAGCGGGGAGAAGTACTCAGCTCTTGTACTTGTAAAAGGAGAAGTACCAGAGTGTAGGAATACTGTGTTACAAATAAAAGTCCTGCCATCTAAATGTTACTCAAGTAAAGTACACAAGTATTGGCATGGCATCTAAATACACTTAGTTAAAGTACTCATTATGCAGATTAGCCCATTTCGGATTGATATATATTCCATATGTTTTGATTAATTATTCATGCATAATCATGCATATCACAGCTGGTAAAGCTGGAACTAGGTTTTATTCTTTTATTAACTTTTGGGTAGTTTGTGAATTTACTCCAGGTGTAAATAAAGTTTTATTTAAGTGTTGATTATGTTGTATATCATCAATCCATTATGCAAGGTAACTAAATACATTAAATAAATGTAGTGGAGTAAAAGTTGACTTTGTACCTCTGAATTGTAGTGGAGTAGAAGTACAAACTAGCAGAAAAGGGAAATAATCCAGTACCTCAAAATTGTATTTAAAAGACAGTACTTGAGTAAACGTACTTAATGACTTGGCACCTCTGCTGTGCACACCCCAGCGGACAACAGTGAGCTGTGGGAGTATAATTGTTAGAATCTAGTTCTGATCATTCTGAGTTAAGATAATCACTTACCAAGGAATGTTAGTCTCGCTGACACATTCAGTCTGTCTGCTGCATGTTCACTTTATCGGCTTAACACTGTAGCAAAGGCTAGGCTAGTAGCAAAACAACCGACATGTCGATGATAACAGTTGACTGTCAAAGACCATATCATGTCGCTGGTAAAACCATGTTTAACATCTGAAAGGTAACTTAGCTAACGTCTTATTCGGTTTGCTTACTTACTGGCAAACATGGGAAGACAAACATGCTCATTCACGTCGGTGAGACTCATGCCCTGTAAGTTTACACTGGTTCACACTGTTGTGTTTTTCATTGGATTAATTTCACTTTGGTTTTGGGTTTCTTACCTTATGGCAATAAATGTTGAATGTACTTGTTCTATGGGTACCGGCTGGTCCTCGCTGCCTTTAGGACGACATAAATCACTCCAGTAAATAATGTTATAACTGGACGTGAAACCAAGTACTGTGCTGCGTTCAAATAATACGGAAAATACGGATACATTCCTATGACACATAGTTAAATGGGTGATCTGTCCAAACAAACAAAAATATATCAATAAATATATTCACACAAGATACCATGTTGTGGCCTAAGACAACCTATTGATGTATACATGTTAACAAGTTAGCTAACAATCTATTTTATACAGTCAATGGTAGTAACACGCCTTTTATTCTCACAGAGCTTTCGATTGTCGTGGAACTTGAATGCAACATCAGCTAGGCGGAAAGTGTATTGACGAGTGACGTTCCAATACATACACGTCTACTTGTGTGCCAGCATAATTGCAGATTAATTTATTGTATGCACCATTTATATTAGTTAAGTGATATGAGTGGCCTTGTATAAGATGTTTTTGCCAACTAAGATCAAACATGTTTTCCTTTGTTCATTTTCTAGATCTCAAATGGATGTGCGAAGTGACAAATAACATAAGCGGAACGGGACCATCAGACGAACCCACCAACACAAAGCCACCGAGAACAACGTTACACAAGCCAATGCAATTTCCGCTGGCAGTCAAATCTCCTTAACTTGGTAATGTACACACCCTAAATAAAATGACTATGCAATGATAAAATAGTTAATAATTATTCACTGCATATAGCTAATACAGATATTCTAGCGATGCGGTGATGCTTTGATGGAGGAACCAATGAGCATCGGACATGTTGCCAACGGAACAAAGCTGGGGACACTCCGTTTGAAACTACAAACATGAATAGAGGTGCTCGCAGCAGACTGCCTCCATGGATAGAGAGTCTGGCCCTCAGCTATGGCAGGGAGGAGAGGAGCAGCGGCGAGCGGCTGAAGGCGCATGTCATCGGGGTGGGTGATATGTCTAAGTCCCAGGCCCAGGGCTCCGAGGGCCCCACGGGGCTGCTCTTCCTGTCCGACGGGGAGCTGCAGATTCCTGCCATCCTCACAGCATCAGCCTGGGAGCATGTCCAGGAGCAGGACGATCGCGAATGTTTCACCAGCCTTGTGAACACCACAGTGTGCCTCCACGACTACCAGCTGCAGTTTCACATGGCCCCGGAACTGACTAAATGCAGCTTCTTCTTATTAGTTGGAGAGCTGGCTACAACTGCTGCCGGTCAAGTAAAAGACACCCCCCCTGTCAGCACCAGCCAGCCCTCCATCAGGCTGAAGATCTGCCAGACATGGAGGGCCCTGCTGTCTCATCAGGAGACACAGGACTCTCAGATGAGCCAGTGGGGGGGTGATCTGTCGGAGCTGCTGGGGGAATGGCAGCATGACTGTCTGCATGCTGTGCTTGGGGATGTTCGAGAGGGACTGATAGCAGCCAGCAGCCGCTCTAAGAGCCTGCAGCCCTCCAAATCAACTTACAACCCACTGCTGACCCCCCCAGATACATTCACTGCCACACGCTGGAGTATTGACAGGGTCCGATTTAAAGGAGTGAAACCTTTCGTTGTCCCCACTAAGTGCCTTCTCTTTCCTGAACAAGATGCTGAGCAGCTGCACACACAGTTACCTGTTGGAAGCAGGACAACCGATGGAGTGTGTGCTGCCTCTGAGGACAGAGAGAGAGATTTACCTCAAGTCTTTCAAACTCTGCAGACCACGCAGCCTTCTGGTGACGATGATGCAGAGTGGGCTATAGCCAAGCCGGAAGTTGTAGAGAGAGATGCCAATGACAACTCACCTTATCCTGTGGAGGACAGCATGTTACATGAGGACGGAATCACAGTGTTTATTGATAGCCACATGCCTTTGGCCAACCCGTGGGACATTTTCCCTCCACCATGTGACACCTCATCATCTTCTGATGTGTCAACAGAAGCAACACCAAACCATTCGCCACAAAATCCCACTGCTACTGAATTTAAGTCTGATGATGGTGTAATCTTAACCAGCATGCAACAGCCTCTCCACAGTTTAAAGGATACATCAGAGCTCAACAAAGAAGAGCACAGCTTCCTGCCTCCATACCAGAAAGATCCACACTCAACCAGCCTCCATGCCACTGCGACTCCTTCAACTTCCACATCTGTGAGTCCACCACTGCCACACCTTCTTTCTGCCACAGACAAACAGCACACACACACAGCACAGCAACATCTCCCTGCTTTGGACAAAGAAAGTCAGATTTTGTTAAAAAACATTAAGGGGACAAATGAGAGAAAGAGAAGAGAGCCCACAGCAGAAGCCCTGACCACCTTAGTGGAGCAGGAGACTCAGATCAGTGGCAGCCCTCCATCTTGGCTCTTTAACGCTCAGACAGGCTCTGGGGCTGAAGAGGGGGGCAGTCACCAGCCGGCTCAAACTGTAGGGACTGTTTCCAGAAAGCGAAAGAATCCCACTGTGCACAGGGACGGCAGGCTTTTCTCTTACTCTTACCGAGTGTCTGGACAGAATCAGCAGGATTTCCGTGGATTCAGCGTCGCAGAGGCCCTTCTGTACTGGGCGGTGAAATATATTGTGGTTTCAAAGCAGACGGATCCTCCTCCAAACACATCAGTATCCTCTCAATCAAATGTCATCTGAAGTTCTAAGTATGTAAATTGTCAAAAAGATCAAAATAAATAAAGATATCTGAATGACATGCCAACGTTATGCTATCCCATGGAGATTTGGGCAGAAATCATACAGTTTCTTTCCATGCAGTATACCTTTTCTGAAATGGTGTATTTGGATACTTCCGCAAACTAAACAGTCTTGGAATTGCATGAAGAGCATGACTGCATAGCTGAGACTCTTATTCACATGTGATAAAAGTAGTCCTCATATAGCCATTTCAATATAGTGAGGCTGTATAAAGAAATATAAAAAAGATATAAGATGATCGCACACTTTACAACCACTAACTGCAGCCTGAGGGCTTATGTATATTGACATTAACGGGTTTCTTAGCAGTTTCCAAAATGGGAGTGATCGCCAGAAAAAGCGATTTTTGCAGAACTTTCAAGGAAATCAAAGCCTTTTTGAAGTCTTACTGTAAAGGAATTTCTGAGCATTTTTGTAGATTCTTGAGTGGTAAAAAATGTTCAAATGTAGCACCAAAACCCTGTAACAAATCATGCAACACGTTATGAGAAATGATAGAGCCTGGCATCATATAATTCCCTCATAATATTCCCTCAAACATTGTAATTCAAATTTGAATGGACATCTCACCAAAACACAATGTTTATAACCAATATGAATACACAGAGCTGAGCTGCATCTCAAATCCATCTTCAGATTCCCAGCTTTAAGATGATGTAGGCCCTACATCATCTTAAAGCTGGGAATATGTCTTATATGTCTTAAATGACATGAGGAATTGGAAATGGGGGACCCTGATGTAAACAAGACGAAAGTCTTTCTCTGATCTGCATCCCCTTAACAATTGTATGTTTTGAGCTGTACTGTACTGTACCCAATATACACGCTGTTAATAAACTTTTCAATCAATCAATCAAAGACCTACCAGTATTTTTCTGGCTGCAGGTAAGCAGCTGTTTTAATTGTGGGATTTTGGCGCGGTTGTGCGTGCCACAGACTATTGTCTCCCTAGGGAAACAAATCGCGCACTATCATTTTTGACGGGATTATTATTTGTTTTACTTGTCACCTTGGAATTCCACGTACCCCCTACAGTTCCCTCGTGTACCACTAGGGGTACGCGTACCCCTGGTTGGGAAACACTGGCTGTAGATGACCCCGAGCCATAAGCGACAACAAATGTGATTCAGTTTCACCAGCTGTTTAGTCTATCTATTGAAGAATGTTGATTATTACACTCTGAAGTTAAACCCTGGAGCTACAGGAGGGCTCTTCAGAACTGATTGTGGCGTCTCAACCGTGGCCGTGACATGTCTTGTGAATTCTCCGGCCGAAGCTCCAAATAAACCGTCAGTGTTTGCCATCAAAGCTCCAGCTCTCCTCGTGTCTCTCTGAGTCCTGACTCCATTGCTTCAGAAGTTTCCCCCACATTTACAAATACATTATAGACAACTGGATTGTTGTAAAATTACATGTTCACTGAAATTGATGCATGACGAATTGATGAAATTCAAGAATAATGACATTGTAAAAAGAGTTGATCAAAATCATCAGATTATTATCCAAATGTAGCTGTATGTATTTATCCCGTCAGCTCTCCAAACGGCCCGGCCTCGTCTCCTGGCCTCAGTATGACCGGCAGCAGCAGCAGCAGTACATGGAGCTGGGGCTGATGCAGACGCTCAAACAGAACCTGAATAAGGAAAGAGTCCACTTCGCCTCTGTGGTCCTGACACAGCAGCTGGAGCAGTCCGCTGGGGACTGACCTGCATGCCCTCACAACAACCCTATGGAGTGTTTTGTAGTAGTAGTTAAGTAGCTGTAATAAAAATAAACATTTCATTGCAAAAAACAAAACGTGTCTCAATGCACTTATGGCATGGTTTCTATGCCGTTTGAAAATAGTATTGAGAGCTAAGATAAATCATGTAGGTGAATAAGTGAGAGCAAAGTGTGAGTTTTTAAATGGAAGCCTTCCATAAAAAAGATTACAAAACTGTTTTAGATTCTACTGACATGAATTCAACAACAAAAAAAGCACATCTGGACGATTCCAAATATCACATTATTGAAGTATATAATCCTAAAAGTCTTCAACTCCAGTTGTTAGTTCTGTTCAAGTTTTGTTCGTATAGAAAGTTTACAAGCACCCCAGTTTAAATTAGACGGATGTTAATTATAAACAAAACAACTACTTAAGTATATATTTAATAGGCAGGAATGTAGAAGAAGTCGCTATTATGGCACAACTTAAACATATTTATGAACATTTAGTTACTTTTCGGACGAATCAACAATTGAACACTACAATAAGAAAACTCCTTAATTGTCTCATATTATTTCTAAACTCAATTGATTGATTGATTGATTGAAAAGTTTATTAACAGCTTGTATATTGGGTACAGTACAGTACAGCTCAAAACATACAATTGTTAAGGGGATGCAGACCAGAGAAAGACTTTCGTCTTGTTTACATCAGGGTCCCCCATTTCCAATTCATCACATCATTTAAGACATATAAGACATATTTGACATACAGATGGCTTATTTACAATTTACATGCAGGTGGTTTTTTACATACAGATTGCTTATTTACAATTTTCATTTTAGATTTCGTTCTAATAGGCTACATCCTAATACTTATAAAGAACATTTTCAAAATACTTGACCTGAACATCAACAAGCCTTACCAAATCCTTTTTACAATTCAGACAAATGTATACATATGTATTGAGTTAAGTGAGAGGAAGGGCATTCATTTCAAAAAACAAACTCTAGAACACTTTCACAAAAATAGAATTTGTTTTTACTCGAGGTAAGACATAAATTAGCATGCATTTATTGGTGGAAATATCCGGGCTGTGAACGCATCACCACGGCTCATTGGCTGTTCTACTTGGTGACGTCATTGGGTCCCCCCTCAACTTGTCATCCTATTTTTGCGCGTGCGCTCTCCGACCACAGCCACCACATCATTCAGCAAAAGCTACGCACAATACCAGCCGCGAGGACAGCCTGCTTCTCCTTCATGTACGTACAGCTGCTACTTATGTTGTCTCATAGAATACCAAACTAAAAACTCGGCTCTTATTGTTTTACGACTCTTCACGGATTTCCCGCGGCTCACAGTTCCCTTTACAGGCACACCACGGGTACATAGCGGAAGGGTTGTTGTCCTTCTCTTATCCGGTCTTTTATTGTTTGATTAGAGTTGTTTTTATGTTTATCTAACTTTACGTGCAGGTACATGAGTGACGTGTGTCTGTTAGCATGAGCATGTGAGGTCTGAACAGGAAGCTGTGCTCACCGCTGCTTCCGGCCGCCCAGCTCACTGTCAACACAGGTTTAAAGTAAGTAAGTAGATTTAGTACTGTACTTTAGTAAAATGTTCTGGGACCTTTACTTAAGTCTTTAAATGTTTTGATACTCCACTACAATTCAGCTGTAAATTGTGTACTTTTCCTCCACTACATGTATTTAGTACCTTTAGTTACTTCACAGATGTGGATGAATGATGTGAAATCTAATCAAGTGTTGAATCAGACTTTAGTTCCACCTGGAGTAAATCCACCAGCTACCCTGCAGTATACAAAGTCATTCAAACTAGCTGCACCTTTACCAGCTTTGAGAACACTTTCATGATCAATCATTATAAAACATATCATATATATTATTCTGACATGGACCAATCTGCACCATGACTACTTACGTTTGGGTTAGCCCTATAACTGAATACAATGAGTACATAATAACTATAGATAGTGAACACTGCACACACAGAAGATAGATCGGTACTAATTATGTAGTTAAACATTTAGCCTTAAGCCATTTCACACACCCATACTACACTTTTATATCTGAATTCACACAATTTAGCAGGTACTTGTTTGGTTGCCTAGAGATCTTCTAAGGGCTATATTCCAGTTAAAGAGACCAACATGACAACATATAAGATAAGGTGCACTTTATTTATCACAGATCTTAAACATTGAATATAAAATAAATACACAAATAGATAAAATGAATTAAAAAAATGATAGAGGCTCTAGGTATTTTGGTCGATAGCTATAGATTGTGGGGGAAATTAACCTTTTTCCTCTCAAGGGCCATTTCAATGTTTTCAACATCCTCCGAGGGCCGTACAAATGATTGACCTCATCTTAAAGATACTAAAATCACAGCCCATTCATTTGGCCTTTCTTTCATGCTGTGCAAAGAAAAAGCAACCTCTTAGTCCAGGTATCTTGCCATGACTCACGCACGCACGTGCACGGTGTGGCGTGACCACCAACACAGAAAGATATGGACACAAGATGTGTGCCAATGTTTTTAGTTTCCTATCCATGTGGACATGATGATTGAAGTGGGGGGGGGACCTAACCTCCCCTGGGGGGGTACGGGGGGCATGCTCCCTCGGGAAGAATTTTTTTTAAATGTTGAAGTTAAAAGCATCAATCTGGTTCACTTTGAGAGCAACATTAGTAACCAGATAAGTTTAACGCTTTTTTTTTTACTATTTTATGGTAGATGTAGTGAATAAGTCAACTGTTACATTGCTTTCCTATTTGCTGACATAATGATGGAGTGTGTCTGTTTTTCTGCAGCCATAGATAAAGTGTGTCCCCTGAAGACAGATATAGTGTTGTTGTGTTAGGAGTGTTGGCTGCTCTTTCAGATTACATCTGTAACCGAGTCCCTTAGCTGAGATTCTACACCTAACTTATCTGCTATCAGCCACTTCTGCTTGCCACATTTTACAGCATGTGATGTGAGGTTGTGCAGTTCAGCTTTCACACTCTTCACTGTCGTTCTGTGCTGCTCTGTATCCTACTTTAAAGTTCAATTATTAAGGTATTTATTTCATAAAACAAACATTATAACTGACAGTGGTGTTGGGAAATGTTGTTCAGTCAGAATAGGAATGTTTTATCCTAATCACAGTCATACAAAGCTATGCCCAAGAACAGTAGGTACTAAGTGTTGGTGAAAGAATCTGTTAAATACGATAGCTGCCCCTGGTAATGCCTGTAATCAGGTGACATTCACAACCATTGTTTCTGAGATAGCCCAACCTGGTTTAGGTCCACGAGAAGAGGCTGGGGCCAACATCCCTTCACTGAGAACACTTGACTCCGTCACTTCACAGCTGCTGTAAACGGGTGATGGCCCTCCGCTTGACGATTGCTATCCCACTATCGCTTCTGAGGCTGATACTCGTTGGTTTACAGCGGTCTTGGAAAACAACTTGGTACAATAACACAGGCCATGGACCTACTGGTTTTCGCTATTATTCCTGTCAGTAATATCAGACTTTGTTATATCGAAAAAGTAAATTGCTGAGCACTAGTAACATAACAGCACAGCATGTGAAGTCGAATGGTCAGACAAATTGTAAACAAACCTAGGAGATGAGTCAAACTTAAAGAGAGCTAACAACACCCAATTATTACCTCCCAGCACACATTACAGAATTACTCCGGTTTCAGCTTTGACTGTTAATGTTTCTTGCCTTGTAATTTGTATTTCTATGTACCCATGTTCAACTCTTCCAGCTCTTTCTGCATATGTATCCAAAGTATCAAAAGAAGCAAGACAAAAGATGTACTCACTGCTTATCTTTCAGATTCTACCTCCTTTGGGTTGAGCTTTGTTTAGGATAGCCTGAGAGAGCTCTTTAGGTAAAGAACTAGTGGCCTGAGAAGAGGACTTTGAAAGAACCTTGCCCCCATGCTGAATTAATATTCTATAATCCAGTATCTCACATGAAAGCAAAGCTGATTTATATCTGTGCATTTGCTGCATGTTGCTCTTGAGGCAGGAGACGGAGATAGATTAGCTATAAAACACCACAAGGGGAACAACGCCTTTCTCATATTTTGCTCAACTGTTGTTTTTTCCAGACGTCTGTGCTGAATAATATTTCCTGGGGGTGGAAGAGGCTCAGGGATATAACGGAGCTGTGTGAATCATGCCAAGTGCAGCACACACTGAAGATAAGGTGAGTGACGACAGAGTCCTGAGGCCTGTACTACGAAGCAGGATTTTCGCTTGGCAAGCTAACTTCCTGGATTTCCGGTCCTACGACGCTGGTTAATTTCTTAGCGGGCTAGATAACTTGTGCTGAACGGCTAGCCTGCTCCGGAGCAGGATTGGTTCCAGGATAAGAGATCAACTTCTTCTTCTTCTTTGCTTTAATGGCGAATCGCTTCCACTTGGAGCATATATCGCCACCTACTGTTGATTTATTTAATGTCCATGTTAAATCCTTGTCCTCAGACCAGTGTTTTTGAGAAACTTGAAGATCGGCTTATCAGTAAATATCTGTATAAACTGCCCATATTGTTCATGTAGAACATTGTTCACGTAAGCCTGCACATTGATTTTATTTTTCATTGAATGTAACCGTTTCAATAAGGATACATCTATTACAGGTTGAGGTAGAAACCATAGTGGAACAGCTGATAACAACAGTGTGCCGAGTTTAAAGCGATCAAGTCATATTACAGGAGAAAGGAAATACAGTTTAAACTGCCGTTGCAGGAAAGACGGCCGGCCAAATCACTGACTGTGAACATGAAAATGAATAGAATATCACCTCCCATCTTCAGAGCAATCTGACTATCATAACATTAGCGTTAAGAAAGCTTACTTAAATATCTGCCACAACATAAGTAACCGGATCAGAGTGACATTACGTAGCCTACAGTCCGCGGCACTGTGAGTGCAGACGTCGATGTGTCCCATTATCATTCATATCACATCATAATGTATCATATATGTCCTTATCTGAGTCAGCTGAGCCGTATCTGGCCGTGCAACACTCAGTGTCACATACTGTATGCAGAAGTATTATTTTAAGCAACACATTAAGTTGACGAAACACTCGAGACAAATGTAATTAAAGTCAGATCGTGTCTTAGACGGGGCAGTGATATCATAAACCTGTTAATGTACGCATTCAAACACTTTTTCTGTTACCAGCTGTATTCACCTTGCAGGTGCAGCTCTGTGGCTTTTATCCTGGATAAAGTGTTCATACTTCCTGAATGAAAAGTCAACTATAATATTATACATATGAAGAAGTTAAACTTTAAACATCCATAACTTAAACACTTTATCCAGGAGAAAAGCAACATAGCTGCACCTGCAAGGTGAATACAGAACGGCTGGTAAAAAAAAAAGTGTTTGAATTCGTACATTAATATATCACTGCCCCATCTAAGACACGAGTGGATCTGACTTTAATTACATTTGACTCGAGTGTTTCGTCAACTTAATGTGTTTTAAATAGGGCTGTCAAGTTAACGCGTTAATAACAATTAATTTACTATAATAAAAAAATGTAACGCCACTAATTATTTTAACGTGCGATTAACGCATGTGTATTTGTCCTTGGCCCGCCCCGTAGTTTCAGAGCCCAAAGGCTTGTCGTTGTTCTTGTTAGTTGGATGGTGGGAGATTCTAGCGAGAGATATGGATACATAAAAGGTGTTTTAAACAGCAAGCCAAGCACACAGCTGATGCTGACAGCCCCGATCCTGCCGCTCGCTTGTGCTTTAAAGTTTACTGGGGAGACTCCTGGACAACAACAGCGATAGCTAAATGGGGGGCTACAGCTTAACATTGTGGAGGACGAGGGGCTGCGTTAGATAATTCGGATCGCATCCAACGTGTCGACTGCACATCACAGCGCATTATTTTGACCCACAATGGGAACTGCAGTCTCATGCTTTGACTGTTATGAAGACAGAGGAGCGGCATTTCGCCGACAACTGTAAACAGGCTTGTCTGTTTGAGCAACTGGCTCAGTGCAGAGAAGTAGACAGGATTGGGAGAGAGTATAAGAGAGAGAGAGAGAGAGAGGTTCCAGGTTGTTGTATTGAATGTGTGTGTGTGTGTGTGTGTGTGTGTGTGTGTGTGTGTGTGTGTGTGTGTGTGTGTGTGTGTGTGTGTGTGTGTGTGTGTGTGTGTGTGTGTGTGTGTGTGTGTGTGTGTGTGTGTGTGTGTGTGTGTGTGTGTGTGTGTGGTGTGTGTGTGTGTGTGTGTGTGTGTGTGTGTGTGTGTGTGTGTGTGTGTGTGTGTGTGTGTGTGTGTGTGTGTGTGTGTGGTGTGTGTGTGTGTGTGTGTGTGTGTGTGTGTGTGTGTGTGTGTGTGTGTGTGTGTGTGTGTGTGTAGTGGCGTTTCTAGGTGTACAAAACTGGGGGGGGCAGAAAGAGGTCGGGGGAGAGAGAGGGGGGGGACAGAGAGAGGGGGGACAGAGAGAGGGGGGGAGGAGAGAGAGAGAGGGGGAGTGTCAAATTACATACTGAAGACCACAGGAGCAACACTGTGAGCGCATACATTTACGTACACAGCGTGGGGATGTCATAGTAATGCACCTTCATACATGGAGTAAAGGTCACCATCACAAAGTAATTCTTAACAATAACAACAACCGTAATGCTTTAGCATTAAAACACCATAGACTGTAAATATAAGGAAAACACAGACACTCATCATCGAGGTCACAATATCAATCGATCCAGCAGAGGCAAAACACAGAAGATCAACAAAATATATGACATAAATGAACTTACCAAAGCTGAAGGCTCACTTGAAAAGAAAAGCGGCACGGCGGTCCTTCCTCTGACAGAATGTGTCTATCACTTTGGGGATGAAGTCCTGTAGTTGCTGGATCAACTGGCTTTCAATTGAAAGCATGGCCAATGCGTTAAGTCGCGGCTGTCCCATGGTGTTGCGAGTGAAAGTCTTTATCCTTTTGAGGGTGGAAAAGTTCCTCTCTGACTCGGATGTCGTCATCGGAGTTGTCACTATTATTTTGACCAAAATAACAGTCTCAGCAAACGTTTCCTCCAAGTTGTTCTCGTGAATGGATTTCAACAGAGACAGGGCAGTGTTTCCAGTGTGAAGCTCACTGTGGCGGTAGAGCGTGGTCAGCTCAGACTTCAACTTCTCCTTGTTTCCCAACGCAGGCCACAGTTTCACGGCGCAGTCAAGCTCAGGTGTAGGAAATGACAGGACATGCTGTGGGAAGAATGAGCTGTCAACAAGCTTTGCAGCGATCAAATGGTCACTCTGTGAGAACCTCTGTTCCACCTGTGAGATGACTGTGTCACAAGCCTCCTTCATCACCGGCGCTGTGCTGCTGACTCGTCGGCCTGGCTCGTCTGTTCCATCATGAGCAGTGGCGGCCAATGCATCAGTTTTCTGCCTCATTTTCTGAACATTTTCCTTGAAACGGCAGAGCGCGCTGTTGATCCCAGGTGCATCGATGCTTCGTTTTTGCAGAGTGTTGTATAGAACATCCACTTCTGGCATAAGCAACGAAAAAAACTCCAGGAGCTGCATAAATGCTCGGTCCCGCAGTTTCTTTGACCGCATCCCATCCTGGTTGTGCGCGTATATGCTTCATACACTGAAGTAGTGCATCTCGGGTCTCCCAAACCGCGTTCACAGTTCTGCTTTTAAAGTTCCATCTCACAGCCGGTGGCCGTGGGATGCGTCTCTGTGTTGCCTCTGCAAGAGCTGCAACACGTTTTGGAGCACCGGAGAAAAAAGTGGAAAAAGCAGTTAGATCTGCAAAAAACACCTTCAGGATGCTCATCCTTGCTGAACACAGTTGCTGCAGGGTCAGGTTCAGTTGGTGGGCGTAGCAGTGAACAAACTGAGCGTTTGGGTACGTCTCCTTCATCACCGTCTGTACCCCGCGCACGTTACCGCTCATGACGGCCGCCCCGTCATAGGTCTGAGCGATTAGCTTTTCTTTCAGCTTCAGGGGTTCCAGAACAGCCTTGATGCTGTTAGAGAGACCTACACCAGTTTTGTCCTTTACTTCCACAAACTCCAAAAAACGCTCTGTAACTGTGAGGTCAGGCATAATGTATCGCAGCACAATCACCATTTGCGATTTACAGGAGACATCGGTTGTCTCGTCGGCCTGAACGGCAACAAATGATGTGTTGTCCACTTGCTTGGCTATTTCCTCCCTGTACACATCATACATGCAGTCCAAGAGTTCATTCTGTATGGTGCTTGATGTCCCTTTGAAAACAAGCTGAGCTTCGTACTGCCGTTGAAGCCTGGAATCGCCCTCACACATTGTCTCGAAAATTGACCTGAATATCCCTGGATTCAGAGAGTCCGCCGACTCGTTGTGGCCCCGCAGTGCTGTCTCACATTTCCCACACAGTTTAATACAGGTGATGATCCGACCAAGCACGTACCTGTTTTCTTCCACCTTCCTATTATGAGAATCAATGCCGCGTCTGTAGGCGCTGTCAATCTGAGCTGCAACATTCACCCTTCCAAGTAATCCCAATTTTACGGCATTTTCCAAATGACTGTTGCTGCTCTCATGCTTCATTGTCCTCTCCGAAAGATGCTTTAAATCCTTGTAACCTGTCCTCGACCAAGTACCTTGATCTTCACCAAAAAGCAGGCAAGGAAAGCAAAAGAGGGAATTCTTCTGGATGCTCGCCGTTAGCCATTTCTTTTTAGCAAACCACTCAGCGTTAAACCCACGTTTAACTTTGCCCGCAGTCTGGACCATTTGGAAATCCGGTGGATGGTGGGCACCGAGGCGCTTTACCTCCAGTTTCTCTCCGAGACTAAGTGTCTCAAATGTGTGCTCCAGTAAATGGTCAACTTCATTCATTTTCTTTCAGTTTTTTACTTCTTTTAATCGCTGGTGATGTTAGCTATATGCTGCTCTCTCGTCTCCTCTTCAAACTACACGTGACGTTTCGCAGCACTGCACACGTGAGTACTTACAGCCAATCAATTCTGAATTATGTGAGATGACGTATGGTGGGGATGGGAGCACTATGCCCCTACGGTCATTATTTTTTTGCCACACACATTAAATAGAAAAATACTCTGAGCATGCGCAGTGTAGTTTTTACAATCACCGTTCACTTAGACCAGAGGTGCCCAGTACGTCGACCGCGGGCGACCGGTCGACCGCGGGGGCAATGCTGGTAGATCGCGAGTCATTCATAACAAAAAAAATCCTGTTCCGTTAAAATAGACAAAACAGGTTTTGATCCCTCCTCCCTTGGCCTCCCTGCCACTTAATTCAGGAGTTTACTTGATTGACAGAAAAAGCGACCTATCGCTTTCCAGTCTGTTAACCCAGAATGCAAAGCGATACAAAATCAGTCAAGTGCCGGGAAAACTCAAATTAAGTTAAAGAGACTAACAAGAGACAAACAACAAAATGAGTGCGGGACCGAGCAAGAAGCTAAAGACATACCACTTCCACCCAGAATGGGAGGAAGAATATTTTGTTGTGATGTCACATTCAAAGGTTATTTGCCTTATTTGTAAAGCAAGCGTCGCTCTGCCAAAGAAAGGTAACGTGGAGAGGCATTATCGGAGTGTTCACAAGGCATATGACAGCGACTTCCCTCCGAGTAGCGAGTTGAGAAAGAGAAAGGTCATGTATTATTGCTACACAAATATTATCTCGCAATCTTAGTGTCGCCAACTCGTTTCTAACATGCAAAAAGACAAACAAATGTCGGTGTATTTTCGATCTTTCCAATCGAGACGAGATCTCTCCCCCGTCTGTGCGCGAGGGGGCGGGGCAGTTTACACACACGCGGCTGCTACAAGCAGCAGCACACGGAGGAGATGGCGGAGAGAAGCGCTCCAAGGTGTGGTTAAATGTTACCCGTCTTGAGGTGGACAATGCTCCTTGCCAAGAGAGTTCAGCATGTGAGGGCGGTAACACGAGCAATGTGTCTAAACATTTAGCAAAAGTGCACCACATCCAGACGGAGAAATGCACCGGGTTCGACTGTCTTTCTAGCAGCTCTGCAGCCCCATCCACGAGTAACGTTTCCACGTCAGGTGTTATGTATGCTAGCAGCAACACACGCAGTTAACTCCATGATACAAACATGGGTTAATGATTATAGGAAACTGAGTTACTCTTTATTTTGTTAAAGTTTCAGCTATTCTGTTCACAGTTCTGTCATCAGATTATTTAATACGATTTGTTAAAACATTGTTGTTTCTTTTGATGTGAAATATTATTTATTTAATTTAAATAAAAAGCAATGTTAGTTTTGTTCACAATTTGTTAATTTAATAATATATGTATTTTTGAATCAAGTATTCATCTTTATTGTCTTCATTGTTAGTTTCCACATGCCTAAAACAACCTCAAGCTAAATCTAAAAGTTGATGGCTAAATAAGAGGGTTTGAGAAATTGTGCAAAGCATACAGTAATAGTTCGAATAGTCGATTAGTCGTTTCATTAATCGATAGATTAATCGATTATCAAATTAGTCGTTTGTTGCAGCCCTATTATCCCATGTATAAATAAAACGTGTTATTCAGCAACCCTTGCAATTTGTGATTTTATTTTTGGTTGGTAGACCTCGGTGATCTGGTCATTTCAAAAGTAGCTCACCAGCCCAAAAAGTGTGGGCACCCCTGACTTAGACTGTGAGAGGGAGAGGCAGGATCGCTTTTTGTCCCACATGGCTCTAAACAGCTCAAAACAGCACTCTAGACACTAATTAGAAGAACACAGACTACAACAGAAATGTACAGACGAATCAGATTATTAAACATGACCTTAAAATATATTTTATATGTTTTTTTATTTATTTTTTAGTATTTTTTTGTAATCATTATTTGTAATACTTTCTTCTGACACTAGGTGGGGCTGTGCCCCACCTGCCCCTAATGACCCGCCGCCACTGTGTGTGTGTGTGTGTGTGTGTGTGTGTGTGTGTGTGTGTGTGTGTGTGTGTGTGTGTGTGTGTGTGTGTGTGTGTGTGTGTGTGTGTGTGTGTGTGTGTGTGTGTGTGTGTGTGTGTGTGTGTGTGTGTGTGTGTGTGTGGTGTGTGTGTGTGTGTGTGTGGTGTGTGTGTGTGTGTGTGTGTGTGTGTGTGTGTGTGTGTGTGTGTGTGTGTGTGTGTGTGTGTGTGTGTGTGTGTGTGTGTGTGTGTGTGTGTGTGTGTGTGTGTGTGTGTGTGTGTGTGTGTGTGTGTGTGTGTGTGTCAAAAGTTTGGACACACTTTCTCATTTGAAGTTTTTTGAAAGTATTTTAATTGTTTATACATTGTAGATTTATACTGAAGACATCAAGACATATCAAAGAACACATATGGAATGATCTAGTAAACAAAAAAGTGTTTTAAAAAATCCAGAATATGATTTATATTCTACTGCAGAATGCTGTGGTAGCCATGCTGGTTAAGTGTGCCTTGAATTCTGAATAAATCACCAACAGTGTTACCAGCAAAGCCCCCCCCCCACCACCATTACACCTCCTCTTCCATGCTTCACGGTGGGAACCTGTTAGGGAAATCTTAGACCCAGTCAATACGGTGGAGATACACAAGTCAGAGTGATCAAACAAATAAATGGTGAAACAAGCAGAGTTGTCTTTCTGGTTATTTATTTGAAGCTTCAAGACACAGGTCTCACAGAGTATAGGATAGTCTGCAGGAGTGTGCGCAGTAGTAATAAAATAGCAAAGCTTATATACAGGAAAGGGCGGGAAGCTCAGAAATCTGTCTTCACACGGTCTCATATTGTTATTAGACACCTGTCCTTGAGCTGTAGATAGTATAACGGTTCTCAGAGTATGGAAGTTCTTGTGAGACTTTGTGTGAAGAGGAGTAGTCTCAACATAGTCTGCCAAATCAGCTCTGTGGCCTTGAAGCGCTTCGGAATAAAAACCCTCATTAGAGTAAGAAGAAAGAACAGCACATCTCAGGAAATGGTATAGGTGTTTTAGACAATGTTTTGAGAAGCATTTGGTTTAAGCATATAAGGTATGATAAAAATGTCCACTACAAACCACACGTGCAGAAACCATCCGCTCACCTTCTCTGCATCTCACAGACACGGCGGTTGGAACCAAAAATCTCAAATTTGGACTCATCAGACCAAAGTACAGATTTCCACTGTCTAATGTCCAATCCTTGTGTTTCTTGGCCCAAACAATTCTCTTCTTCTTGTTGTTCATCCTCAGTAGTGGACCTTTGCAGCAATTGGACCATGAAGGCCTGATTCACACAGTCTCCTCTGAACAGTGGATGTTGAGATTGTCTGCTACTTGAGCTCTGTGATAATTGATGTGGGCTCTAATCTGAGGTGCTTTAATTTGTGGTTTCTGAGGCTGGTAACTGATGTATTTTTCCTCTGCAGCAGAGCTAACTCTTGGTCTTCTTTTCCCGGGGGCTCCTCATGAGAGCCAGTCTCATCATAGCATTCGATGGTTTTTGCGACTGAACTTGAGGATAAATTCAAAGTTCTTGACATTTTCCGGATCGACTGGCCTTCTTTTCTTATAGTGATGATGGACGGTCGTTTCTCTTTACTGAGTTGAGTGGTTCTTGCCATAATATGCATAATTATGACAGTAGTCAAATAGGGCTTTCCCATTAAGAAGGCAAGTCATTCCACAAATTGACTCTTGACAAGACACACGTGTTAATTGAAAACCATTCCAGGAGATAACCTCATGAAGCTGACTGAGAGAAGCCAAGAGTGTGCAAAGCTGTCATCAGGGCAAAAGGGGGATACTCTGAAGAATCTAAAATAAAAATCATATTCTGGATTTTTTTAACACTTTTTTGTTAACTAGATAATTCCATATGTGTTCTTTTATAGTTTTGATGTCTTCAATATTAATCTATAAAGTAGACGTTTTTTTAAATAAACAAAGACCATTGAATGAGAAGGTGTGTCCAAACTTTTGACTGGTACTAAAGCCAGTTGAGTAGCACTTGAAATGTTTTTGCTCTATGAAACCTGATGTACTTATATGATTCTGTTTTCAAGTTTGTATTTTGTTGGTCGAACGCACTTATTGTAAGTCGCTTTGGATAAAAGCGTCAGCTAAATGCAATGTAATGTAATGTAATACTATATTATATACTATACTATACTATATAGGCACATGTACACTAAATATAAACTGAATAAAAAAGGTTGGTGATGCTGCTCATTTTCTGCTTTGTCTTTCCCAAGGACGCAGTGGGTGTAAGAGCTCTCTCGATGTTGGCAAACTCGCAGTGGGAAAGTCTGCTAAATTAAAACCCATTAAGGACAGGTGACCCTTCTAACTAGCACCTACAAATGTGACCACCCTGATGTTCCTGCAGAACACTCAAAAGCTCATGCTAAAAAAACCTGTTTCAAAACTAAAAGGAAAAGGCATATTTCCAACACGGAGGGTGTAGCAGTGGACAACTTAACAGACTTTGCCCTGGCCTCGGAGGCCACAGCTGTTCGCATTAAAGGAGGCCAGCACCAAGGCCATACAGACATTTTCTCCCCAGAGCAGGCTCCTTCCATGGAATTCCAGCAGCAGCCATTACTGCCAGAGCCCACATCGCCGGCCAAGCCCAGCTCCCAGCAGCAGCCCCCAGAGGAGGGCCACAATCACAGCGATGCCACAGAGTCGGCGTACAGCGGGGACGACATGGAGGCGCCCGCTCACATGGGGGGGCCTGCTCACATGGGGGGACCCGCTCACATGGGGGGGCTGAGGCGGTCCTCGTCTTCGTCTACTCACAGTGGAGAGGAATCTGACAGGGTGGAGAGGAGGCACTTCATGAAGGCTTATGTGGAGAAGGTGTTTCATGGAAAGTAAGGAATATTTATTTTATATAAGAACTCTATGTGTACTTAAATAACTTGGACTCGAGCAAGTTTTCTCTGGAGTCTGATGTCCTCTATCCTGGTGTGTGCACCTGCGAGGCGAGTTCACGTATCGGGCCCCGCTATTCCAGTCTAAAGATGTCTAGAGACACACCCCGCATGCTGCTGTATGCTTTCACACATTCTGCTTCCACATTGGAAAAGAGCAGCGCAAAATGCTCGTTATGTGGAAACAATATTGAAGAGAAGGCTCCGTAACACATTACTCTAAGGATCGAGTTCAGACATATAGGCTGTCTTGAACACTATCATCAGAGTAACGTGATCTAATCAATAAATAAAGATTCAGCCGATAAAGAAAGCACATGGCTACTTAACATGCAGAATGACGTAATTTTGCATGCTAAGTAGCCATGTGCTTTCTGGGGCTTAATCTTTATGGTAAACCGATTTAACCGTAAAAGTTCCTTCAAAATAAGAGTCCCGATCTTATTACTATCAAAATAAAATAAAAGTGCAAAACTACAGCAGCTATATTTCAACACATATATCCACGAAGATTAATACATGAAGACTTGTGACTCGGACTTGACTTGGACTCTTCTTAGGAGACTCAGACTTGGACTCGGACTCGAACACAGGTAATGATGACAACGTTTTCATTGTTACCAAGGTGGTTGCTAGGGACGCTGCTATCGATATTATTTCTGTTATGTTGTGTACCTGTTTAATGGTGTTATCTTTATTGCTACCCCCTTCCCCGTCAATTGATAGTGTTGGTCCACAGCGCAAACGTATTTTAACAAAAATACGCATCTAAAATTGTGGCATAGATACGTTATTTTCCCCTGTGCAATTCTCCATTTACTCAACAATAACACATTATTATCCTTGTGTTTATTTATTTGTTTGATTAATAAACACAAGTTGGAGTCCGTCAGGACCGAGGGTCGGAGCAGCTCATTTGCTTTACAGAATATTACACCGGGAAGTAAGTATTCTCTCAGCTTCGCTTGACAAACCCCGTGATAGTCCTCAAGCTCTGTGATTGGTGAGTGTGTTCCGAGGGTTACGCCGAGTGTCGAACAGCACTTGAAATGGGATGGACCCACGGCAGACTGTCCAACACTGGTTTCAACGGGTCCACCGCGTCCCCCCCCCCCCCCCCCCCCCCCCCCCCCCCCCCCACCCCGTCCCCAGAACTACACATGCTGGCTATTGTGTTTCGCAACATGTTCTCTATCTATGGCATGTCTCTACTGGGAGTTGTAGTTTTAAAAGAAGTTTTCGTATTTCCCATAATAAGAAGTTGCCAGTATTAAACTGTGTACATCCCTGGAGGTTTAGGGGATAGGAAACACTCAAATTTAAAACATATAATTAATAAATGGGTGAAAATTGCTTGTGCCCATAATGGGCAGCATTACCCACATGCCAGCTAAGGTCAGAAGAGCTTTATTTAACAGCTGGTCTTATGTCTGTGACCCCTCCTGTTGTTAATTGATGAGCCTGAAACATGCACTTGTCAAGGTTCAGAGGCACATTTTGCAAATATGGCAGTAGCCATCGATCAGCTTAAGATAAGATATACTTTATTGATCCCAAGTTGGAAACATTTGCGTTACATCAGCATGTGTAACAGTTGTAAATATGCAGTGGTGTTTATTTGTAAATCATTTAGTATAATCACACACATTTTGTGTTTTATATTTAATAATTCTGTGTTCTTTATTTATTTGTTCAATCATTCCTCGTGTTTGTCTAGAAGTCTTCTCATCAGGGCTCTATAAATAGAGAACTACGGCAGATATGTAATATTTAATGCAGCCGAACCGTGTATTACAATGCCGTTATGTGCTGACTTTCAAAGAGAAAAGCAAGCACACTCGGAATAAAGTATTATTTTATCTTTTAAAAATGTTTTCGGTCTGTTTCCGGTATTTGTTAATGACGATGTGCTGTGAGATGTGAGACTGGAATTGCACAGGGGAAAATAACGTATCTTTAGATGCGGATTTTGTTAAACTAATACGTTTGCGCTGTGGACCAACACTATACATTGACAGGGAAGGGGGTAGCAATAAAGATAACACCATTAAACAGTTACACAACATAACATCGATAATAATATCGATAGCAGCGTCCCTAGCAACCACCTTGGTAACAATGAAAACGTTGTATGGACACAATTTCCTGAAGTAATCTTCGTAATAACTAGCAAACTAAAGATCATGTACATCCACTGCACACATCATCTGAAATAACAACTCATATTTCTCGCATCAAATGACATCAAAACGCATTTTAATGGCCAAACTAACTTTAAAATAGGCATTTCCCTCCGAGAATAAAACGAAGTTCGGCCATGGTTTTTTTTTCTGCAGGGAGAAATTTGAAGATCACGTGACTTAGACGCCAGCCATTGGAATGAATGGTGAAAAAAAACGTAGGGATCTTACAATTTCATAGGCGTTTTTGTAGAAATACTACGTCCTACGTTGTGGACCAACGTAGTTATTACACGTTTTTTTGTGAGACTGGGTTGGCATTTCCCCACTCAGAGATTGCCAAGGGGTCCAACAGACTCACAAATATTTGACAAGAAATTCAATGTGAACAGGATGAAATGCTAAAAAGCAATTGTAAATATCTGGTTTCCTTATGTTTTGCATTCCACAGACATTTAATGAGCTATTGCACTTTTCTAGCAGTTTTGCTGCAGGCCTGATCAGGGGGGCATGCCGTCCCATCCTACAGATAGCAGACCGACTTCTGTATGTCATAATACATCTTGTCTAAAATGTTTTTTTTGCCATGCAATCTCGAGGTGTGCAATCTCGCTGTGATGACCTACAGCTTCCTACCAGTTATATTTAATGAGAAAACCCTGTTAGTGAATTTATGTCTATCAATTCCTATCTTATGCCTTAGATATGTCTTCATTGTGTAGTATTGGCTGTAGTGTAAAAATGTGCTGTGCTGGATTTTACATCTTTGCATTCTTCTCTCTGGATTCAGGTGTTTGTGTTAGGCAAAACAAATGTTTGTCATCCCCTACTTTGCACCTTCGCTTTACATGTCTGCAATACATGTTGGGCGGGGATTGGGAGGTGATGACTCCTCCATTCACAATGTATTTAGTGGCAGGGTCCTTTGGTCTGTGGAGGAATGTTTCAATGTTGGTTTCAGTCATGTGTATCCTCATCTTAGCTGCAATGATGCCTGACAGGACAGGACCTTCCATGTTGTGCAGAGGCAGGTTATTCGCAGGTAGCTGGAGGGAATGGCTCCCTTCTGGGGGTCTTTCCTTGGTTTAACCATTCTAGGGGGTCCTATCTCTCAGCAGCTGGTGCAGTTGTGCTGCGTATTATCCATTGACTTGCAGTCAATTTGTGTATCCATATAAACACTTAAAATGAGCTCAATGATGCAATCATAAACGTAATGTGCACGTGGCGCTTTGTTTAACTTCAACACAAATGTTTGACCATGTTGTCACAGGGAGGACTTTGACCAGGAAGAGAAGGCTCGTTTTGGAGAGCTGTGCAGTGGAGAGAATGGCAAAGGCAGGGAGTGGTTTGCCAAATACGTCAGCGCACAGGTGAATATGGGTAAAACATTAAATGGTAGCTAGTCTGACGTCATATGTGACCTTTAAATGGTAAATGACAGCATTCACCTATTCTCACACACATTCATACAGAGGCAAAAATAACTGCAATATTCCAAATGCATTAGACAAGGAATTACAGCTTCTTGTTGGACCCAAACATAACATTTAATAAGTGAAAAAAGTCTACATGAATGCAGGAAATGAAATGGTCTTGTCTTTATGCTGAGCCTTCCTGAACAAGCTTCTAACTCTGTCTCACTGTTTTCACAGCGCTGTCATTCCAAGTGTGTGAGTGAAGCAACCTTCTACAGACTGGTGCAGTCATTTGCAGTTGTACTGTTTGAGTGAGTCTACATGTGGTTGACTTTGTTGAGACTCACTGTATTTTTCGAATCCTATTTTAAGGATAAGGCCGGTAATATTAATATAGTTCTTGGTTGTTTGCTTTCCTCTTGAAAAGACCAACATTTAAAATGGCAAACAAATTATTCTTAATACCAACATAACTTTAACAGGTAGAAATAGTGAATTTGTTGGGGACTATTTGCAGTGGTGGATTAATACACATTGGGTGCTCTAATGACTATATAGGACAGAAGCACAGTGTCAAAATAAACTAAGTCAAAATAGACTCTGGATACACAGAAATCCCTGATTAGTAGCATCAACTCATCGTGATCAAAATGATTGATTGATACAATGTAAAGTCTCTCACCTACTCTTCTTATTGAATAAGCTCCAATAAATGACATACATTCCAGCAGTGAGGTTATGACAGCATGATCTCTAAAGACTCTTTAGAGGTTTCTCAATACTCTAATTTCCCCTCCTCGACTCCTATCCTCAAGACTTAGTCCCGCCCGCAGGAGATGCGAGCGGAGGACTCGAGGAGGGGAGCCAAGGAGAGAGGAGGGGAAGCAGCAGGCGGTTAGAGAAATGAGAACTCCTCTCCTCTGAGCGGTCATTTTAAAGAGACGTCCATCAATGATGACAGGAGGCACAGCAGCCCTCTGTCTGATGGACAGATGTGTTCATGACCACTTATATATTTACTTTTAATTAATTGACAGTGCGGTATAATGAGACAATAACAGGCTACAGATGCGGACATATACACACACACATATATTTAAATAAATATATACAATTTAAAGTACGAGAGCACTCTCATAATAACGTAACACAATCAGAGACTGGATATACCCCCCCCCCCCTCTCTCTGGAAATTACGGGCCAAAAGTTGTATTTACAAGTATTAAAAGTAAGCATAGGACACCAAACCAACTGAGACCCGTCTGTCCGCCGCATCTACGCACTGTACAACACACACACCTACACACTGTACAACACACACACACCTACATACTGTACCACACACACACACCTACACACTGTACCACACACACACACCTACAGCTTCTAAAGCATATCAGGCTACAGCCGTTGTGTATTTTATTATGTGAAGCACTAAATGGTTTTAGGAAAATATCGACTCTTTGTTTGTAGATATCTACTAAACTAAAGCAAATAAAGAGAGTAGGCCTGTTATACTGAGTGATATATATTACACACTGCTCTGCTTTCTGCACGGACCTCACAGCTGTTCTCTCTGGAAACATCGCGTCACGATGAGAGCAGTTTCTAAAATAATATCCAGGGGATGCATGCAGAGCTGTCATTGGCTGAGATAAGTCCGGCCGTGCGTCACGCCTCCACTGTTCCCGGAAATGCATCCGCGGAGGAGCCGTGGAGGAACCATCAGTGTCTCCTCGGTTATAGCTCCTCCAGAGAGCCTCCTCGATGCTCGATGCTTGGTCCTCGAAGTGCATTTAGAGAAATGAGTTGTCCTTCAACATGGCGCGCTGAAATCCATTTCCGGGTCACTACCGGAGGACCGAGGAGTTGAGGAGGGGAAATTAGAGTATTGAGAAGCCTTCCTTGTGTTTACAGATGTTACCAGATGGATGACTACAGCCCAGCCAAAAACCTCATGACTATGTGCTTCACGTACTACTACAGTGGTAAGGTGTAATGAGTTTACATCTCAACTTAATGACTTATTATCTTAAGATAAGTTCCTCTATATATTTTGAAACTAACACATTTTTTTAAAGATAATTAGTCATTATAATGACCAACCAGATATTAGTTTTTCATCAAAAGACAACATTTCTTTATTTTTCTTTGTTACTTTTTGGCAGCAAATTTCAGACTTAGCCGACCACTTACATACACAAAAACCTATAGAACACACAGGGAAGGGAAACTCCCAAAAAAACAAATGTTGATGTTTAAACACATCCTCCTCTTGGGCTTTTAAACATTGATTCCATATACAGATAGATGTCATCATCTGAACCTCTCTTGTCTTCTCTTGTTCAGGGAAGTCCCAGCCGTCTCCCTCCGAGCTGTTGGACCGTGGTAGTCCTCCAGCCGCTGTAGACTCCTACATCAACAAGGCCAACTCCTGGCTTTCTGTGAAGAAGGATGCAGCTGAGCGCCTCCTCAAAAGCTCATCCAAGAATGATGTGAAAGGCTTCTTTGGAGGCCTAGAGAACAAGCTGAGAAGCTCAATGGCTCCTAAGACTGAGTGAGCAAATGCATCCCCTCTTTTAAATTATTTTCAGTCAGACGGTCAAATAGTATTCATTACTTCTTCTTTTTCGTAAACACATTCTCCTTTCTAGGGATGGGGAAAGCCCTGTCGAGACAAAACCCAAATCACCAGGTACAATGCATAAAAAATAGATGTGTTAAATGTACTGTATAGCCTACCAGTGCAAAAGAAGCTTTTAGTTCTCCTGCTCCACTTAATCAGTAGAAATGTATTGAGATGTACCAGTACTGTATGTTCTCTTCCTTACCAGTGTCTGAGGCTCCAGAGGAGAAGAAAGGAGAGAAGGTGTACCTGTACATCCACCTGAAGCAGCAACCCATCTGGTAAGCTGAGCAAACTCACATAGAACACATACAGGAGCTCTTAGCTTCACCATGTCCTGTCATTTTTATTTCATTTTTTCATATACACTTTAACTTCTATAAAAGATATACATAAAAAAAAGTAAACAAACAGTCAATCGTTAAAAATGCTGGTTTATGCTTGATCTGTGTAGGGGGAACCAATGTTTCAACGCACAATTAACATCAGGGAGTGGCGAAGTGTGACTTGCCACAATAATTACATTTTCCTCTGGTTCCTGTGTTTCAAACATGTCAACTGCTCTCTGGAATGTGTACACTGATTTATGGGCTTAGATCAGTCTCATAATACACACATGCACACAGAAGGATTCACACTTGTATTTCATTATCCACACTTGTGTTTTTCAATGCACACACAAATGTGTTCCGTTTCATATACATGTAAATCAAATCAAATACAGAAAAAAGTTTTACATATGTATTTTTGATCCACACATATTTGTGTTCCGTTTAAAACCTCTGAACCTACAAACACAAACCGCTTTCTGTGCACGGATCGCTGTGCATTCGTGTTTTGTTTTTTTTAGACTTCCCTGACGGTCACCCGATTCGTACTTGTAATTCTTTCTATCTATAGCCAATCAGATGTCTCCTCCATTCTAAGCCAATCACATGAGCACGTCCCCACGAGGGTATGATGTCTTGCGTTCATGACTTAGCGCTTCATGTACGCATTGTGCGCTGTTCGGAGCTGACAGGTCCATCTCAGTACACCTCCACTCTCAGGACACCTCCACTCTCAGTACACCTCCACTCTCAGTACACCTCCACTCTCAGTACACCTCCACTCTCAGTACACCTCCACTCACAGGACACCTCCACTCTCAGTACACCTCCACTCTCAGGACACCTCCACTCACAGTACACCTCCACTCTCAGTACACCTCCACACTCAGTACACCTCCACTCTCAGTACACCTCCACTCTCAGTACACCTCCACACTCAGTACACCTCCACTCTCAGGACACCTCCACACTCAGTACACCTCCACTCTCAGTACACCTCCACACTCAGTACACCTCCACTCTCAGTACACCTCCACTCTCAGTACACCTCCACACTCAGTACACCTCCACTCTCAGGACACCTCCACACTCAGTACACCTCCACTCTCAGTACACCTCCACTCTCAGTACACCTCCACTCTCAGTACACCTCCACTCTCAGTAGAGCGCCACTTTCCGAACAGGAAATGCACGCAAATACAATCTTTTATATTATTAAGCAGTGACGTGCGGTGAGGTTCATGGCTGGTGAGACACTGACTCTTTCAGAGTCAGATTTAATATTATATTTTGACCTTAATCGAAATATTCGGTTATTTTCAAAAGCTTTTTTAGTCTGATGCTTCGATTCATTTTAAACAGACCGTTCAACAAAATGATACCCAAAGTCTAAATATTGGATTGTTCTTTCTTAGTAAGATCCCATTTTCATTACCAATGTGGTCTTACCTTGACTTGAAGATGAAGTCCATGCTATCCTTCTGGACAACAATCTCTATTACTTTTTTGTAAAAGTCCTCCTTATCTTCCTCTAGTTTCAAAAGTCTAGTTTGTTGTTTGCTTCTACCGTCCCTGCGTAGAATAACAGTAGCAACAAGAACCTGTGGGCTCACTTGCGCCCCCTTCAGTGCGGCAGAGGTTATGGCTGCCTCCCCTGGTGCTTTTTTCATTGCCGTTGTATGATGAGACCAGCGAGCCTTAATATCATATATACGTGAAATAAGTTATTTAGAGACTATGGATGGCGAGGATAAATGTAATAAAGGGATCTACAAACATTACATTGGTGACCTACAGTGAGATGGTGCAGGCATGCGCTTAGGGCCCGCTTTCCAGCCAGTTTCTGTGGGGTGACGCATTCTGAGGTGAGGCAGAGCTCATCTGTGCCTCACCTCACCCCACAGTAACTGGCTTGAGCGCGCTCACAAAATAAGTGCCCGCGTTAAATTAGTGCCCGCGCTCCAGCCAGTTACTGTGGGCTTACGAGAGGCAGAGCTCGTCCCTGCCTCACTCCTCATCGCTACCCGTAGTTGTAGCGGAGCTCGTCAAATTTGCTGATTTTGACTATAAAAAGCGATTGGAATCATACAGAAATCACATTTACAACACAGATCAGTGGAGACATTTTATTATTATTACTATTTAGTCTTTCTTTAGTTGTTTTTCCGTAACATTGGAGTATGACAGGTGAGGCTCTGCCTCCCCTGACTGCACGTCGCTGTTATTAAGGTACAGCGCCACTTTCTGAACCATTAATTAATGCTTGTGCACACAAAACGGCCGGCAAAACCGTTTTAAATGTGTGTTTCTTGTATGGCGAATACAGTCGCTGCTTTATTTGTCTGTATGAAGTTGTTGTGAGTGTAGACAGAGCAGCTACAGGTTAGCCAGGGCTGCCAACACTCACACATTACATTACATTACATTGCATTTAGCTGACGCTTTTATCCAAAGCGACTTACAATAAGTACATTCGACCAGGAAGACACAACCTTGAAGAAAACAGAATCATATAAATCAGGTTTCATAGAGCCAAACATTTCAAGTGCTACTCAACTGGCTTTAGATAAGCCAGTCCTTTATTAGTATATAAGTGCTTTGTTAATAAATCTATCGCTCGAAGTGGAGTCGAAAGAGATGAGTTTTCAGTTTGCGCCGGAAGATGTGCAAGCTATCTGCTGTCCTGATGTCAATGGGGAGCTCATTACACCATCTTGGAGCCAGGATAGCAAACCCACGTGTTTTTGCTGATGGGAACTTGGGTCCCCCTCGCAGCGAGGGTGCAGCGAGTCGTTTGGCTGATGCAGAGCGTAGTGCACGCGCTGGGGTGTACGGTTTAACCATGTCCTGGATGTACGAAGGGCCAGATCCATTCGCAGCATGGTAAGCAAGTACCAGTGTCTTGAAGTGGATTCTAGCAGTTACCGGAAGCCAGTGAAGGGAGCGGAGGAGCGGAGTGGTGTGGGAAAATTTAGGAAGGTTGAAGACCAGACGAGCCACTGCATTCTGGGTGAGCTGCAGAGGTCGGATGGCACATGCAGGTAGACCAGCCAGGAGGGAGTTGCAGTAGTCTAGGCGTGAGATGACGAGAGCTTGGACCAGAACCTGCGTCGCTTTCTGTGTCAACTGGGGACGTATCTCCTGATGTTGTAAAGCGTGTATCTGCAGCAACGGGTTGTAGCAGCGATGTTTTCAGTGAAGGACAGGTTGTTATCTAGGGTCACACCCAGATTCCTTGCAGTCTGAGTCGCGGAAACAACTGAGGTGCCGATGTTGATTGTTAGGTCAAGAGTGGGACAATCTTTTCCCGGAAGGAAGAGCAGCTCAGTCTTGTCAAGGTTGAGCTTGAGGTGATGAGCAGACATCCACTGAGAGATGTCAGCTAGACAAGCAGAGATGCGTGCAACGACCTGGGTCTCTGAGCGGGGAAAGGACAGAATTAATTGGGTGTCGTCAGCGTAGCAGTGGTATGAAAAACCATGCGGGCTAATGACTGATCCGAGCGAGTTTGTGTACAGGGAGAAGAGGAGGGGACCAAGAACAGAGCCCTGAGGGACCCCTGTAGTTAATTGACAAGGGTCAGACTCAGACCCTCTCCAAGTCACCCTGTAGGTACGGTCTTTGAGGTATGAGGTGAGGAGGGAAAGTGCAGAGCCTGAAACTCCAAGTTTTTGGAGAGTGCGAAGGAGGATCTGATGATTCACCGTGTCGAATGCAGCAGACAGGTCCAACAGGATGATGACAGAGGAGAGGGATGCAGTTTTGGCAGTGTGCAGTTCCTCAGTGACAGCAATGAGAGCAGTTTCTGTGGAGTGACCTGCCTTGAAACCAGACTGGTGCGGATCCAGAAGGTTGTTCTGATGGAGATAACAGGAGAGTTGTTTAAAGACAGCGCGTTCAAGTGATTTAGACAGGAACGGGAGGAGAGAGACAGGCCTGTAGTTTATAACATCTGACGGGTTAAGAGTGGGTTTCTTTAGGAGAAGGTTTACTCTTGCCTCCTTGAGACTGTTTGGAAAGTGACCAGAAGTTAGAGAAGTGTTGATGAAATGGGTGAGAAACGGTAGAATATCAGGAGCGATAGTCTGAAGGAGGTTTGAAGGGATAGAGTCCAGAGGACAGGTGGTAGGGCGGGCAGAGGTAATGAGGGTGAGAACCTCACTTGGAGAGAGAGGGGAAAAGGAGGTTAGTGGGTGGGTGGAAGGAGGGTCTGGTGACACAGCGGTGAGTAAAGGTGAGTCAGAAAAAGAAGAGCGAATATCATCAACCTTTTTTTCAAAGTGGGTAACAAAGTCGCTTGACAGAAGTGAGGAGGGGGGGGGGCTTTTGGAGGGTCCAAGAGGGTGGAGAAGATGGAAAATAGTTTTTTGGGATTGGAATAGGAAGATTGGATCTTATCTTGAAAGAAAGTGCTTTTTGCCTGAGAGATCGAAGCAGAGAAAGAGGAGAGGAAAGCCTGATAGGTTAGGAGGTCGTCACAGTGTTTGGATTTCCACCGTTTCCGCTCTGCTGCCCTAAGGACGGTTCTATTAGCACGCAGTGCATCATTTAGCCAGGGAGCAGGAGGGGACTGACGAGCCTGCCGAGATGTGAGAGGACAGAGAGAGTCCACAGTGGATGAGAGAGTAGAGAGGAGAGTTTCTGCAGCAGAGTTTGGAGGTAGTAGTTGGAATGAGTCCGAGGAAGGGAGGGCTGAGAGCACCGATGAGGTAGAGGGGGAGAGGGAACGAAGCTTACGGCGGACAGGTGCAGGATGAGAAGAGATTAGTTTGTTATGTTTGGAAAGGGGTAGAGAGAATGAAATGAAGAAGTGATCGGAAGTGTGGAGCGGGTTTACATAGAGGTTAGAAGTAGCGCAGTTCCTTGAGAATATGAGATCAAGGACATTGCCAGCTTTATGAGTTGGTGGGGATGGAGACAGTGAGAAAGCAAAGGCGGTTAACAGAGATGTT